AGTTTATTAACAAAAATTCGATATCAGAAAATGGGTGCCGATACTATAAAAACAGTTGTTTTATTTGTTATTTCATTTGCTTTAAATGAACCTGCAATCCGATTACTCACCTCTGATGCATTAATGTACTATTTTTGCTGTGCAAATTGTTTATTTACATTGGGAAATGTTTTAAACTAAATCTGTAAAGCTTACGGGAAAATATATTCGCACTCTTTTTAAAATATTTATCGCGTAAACGTTTTCATATTTGTTCGATACTCCTGCCATGAATAAATTGAAACGTGAAATAAAATTGTTTTAGTTTTGATTTCAAAAAGTAGGTAGGTATCTGGTATTACCTACTCTTATATGGACTGATATTGTATTTTTAGGTTCAGTTAAACTTATTATATATTTATTACGAGTTTAATATGAATTTGATGGCTCGTCTGCAGTCAGCGTCAAATATGTAGTTTGCAACGTCGTCGTTGTTACTGTTGCGTTTTGCGGGTTCAAATCCTATGGGAGACGAATATTAATGAGCTGAGCATGAGTATTTACACCTAATTATTCATTTCACAATATTTACTAATGATTTAATTCTGTGTGTTTGCAAACATCCAATTCTTATTGACAGAAGCTGCCTACATTTCTGTCAGTCCCCAGAGCGTGAGATAAATGAAGTTCTTATTTTCTGTCTATTCCTTTAACACCATTTGGCACCTATTACAAAACCGTCACTCAGTGTTCGCAATATTTTCGGGCAATATTCGTGATATCTGACGACTTCTGACGATTTTTCACTCCCGCTTAGCAAGTTATTTCAATCCAGCCTAAATTAATTTTCATCTACCGCCACAGCCCAAAGGGCGCAGAATATAAGCCTCAAATTCCCTTTAGATTTTATTGATACTTAACTTATGACGACTGGATTTGGATATTGGGAAAGTTATCAGAAATATTGGACTGGCGGTTCAGTTAAAAACTTAATAGATTCAAAAAAATTATTTGAATTAAATTACCTTTTTTCGTCTGTGTGTATAATTATGTGTACCTAACTATGCATACTATGTAAGTACATGATATTAAATAATGGCATGATTGATTGAAAATAACTGTAAAACAGCATAAAGCCACATAATATTGTACTTAAGGTAATAAGTAAGTACCTGTGGTAATACTGAACAATTAAAGCAAAAGTTATGGAAACGTCACGGTTATGTCCAGTAGCCTTTTTGTTGTCTACATCATTCATAAGACAAGATTTGGTTAAAAAAATAACTCAAGATACCTTTAGTTAAAATGTTAATTTTGTAGACAACTTCATCAAGTTTTTATGTTCATCTCTCTTTTATATGTGTTACGGGCACATTTCATCAACATATATTGCACGTCCTCTTATAAGAAACTTCACAGTTGAGCATTTAACTTGAGCTTGCGGTATGCAAAGTTGAGTGGCACGTGTCCAGAAAGCAACCGATATTTGCAACAATGAACAAATAGTGGTTAAAACTTTAAGGAAACCTCTGGAATACGAAGTACCTACCTACTTTCTTTCATAGACTTCAGTTCCGAAACTCTATAAGAAGTATTTTTGACAGATATGTTTTAGTTAGATGCTTCTATTCACCTTCCTTAAAAATAATATCAATTTACTAATAGCATGCAATCCCACCCACAATGTAATTGAAATACTTAGTTACCTACTCCTGCAAACATTAAGAACATCAAATTAACGCTGGCAAATAACTTCACATCGCAAATGCATCGCTGGCACGAATTAAAATTTTCCACAAAGCAATTTGCGCTGGCTGACTAATGAGTGGCGATTGCAATGGGCTACTTGAATGAACGTTGATTTAATTTCACCGGAGAGCTGGCGTCGCGAGCTTGATATAATGCTCAACTAAATAACGCGGACATCTACACCCCCACTCCCCTCCATCTCGCCTTACCCCCACTCCAGCCATTCTCCCCCCAGAATTAATCTTCCACATGCCTCAATGTCATCTACCGTTGCAAATGACGCAAAAAATAATGATAAATATAGCGGAAATGCGAAATTCTCAGTTTGAAAAATCCTCTCATTACCAAGGGAGTCTTTTTGGCTCTTGGTTGCGGCTTACTTTCTCTGAATGAGCAATGACTTACTTCTTTAATTATGATACACCTGTAATTTATTTTTGCGCCTCAAGGCTTTAAAAAGAAAATATTTGCTTTAATTTTAAAATGAATAAGCTTTCATCGCTCCAAAATTATTATGAAATCTCAGACTGTTGACTGTTTACCTTTTTAAATTGAACTTTACAGCGTTAGCATAGTAATGAAGTAAATAAGTTAGTTTTTGAACTTAAATAGAATACATAAATGCATAAATTGGATAAGTTTGAATATTTTTATTAATGTTTTTTCCCAACCGACTCATTGACAATTGACTAATAAATAATAATAAATATCCTTAGACATTTTACACTGCGCTTCTAGTCCCAATAAGCAAAGCTTGTACTATGGGTACTAGACAACGGATATAAACATACTTGAATACTTTTTTTTTGTAAATACATACTTATTATACATAGAAAACACCCAGTCCAATACAAACAAATATGTTCATGCACACAAATGTGCCCGCTACCTCCGGAATAGTAGTCCGTTTCGAACCACTACACCAAACGGCCGACGAATGGATTTAAAGCAACATAAAATCTAATTTTTCATTACATTATTACAAACAAACTGGAAACTAATTCACTTATCAGGGCTTAATGACGTGTTCTTCCTGAAATACCTATAACTTCCAAATCAAAATATTGCTTCGTCTAATACCGAACACCTTGGTGGCCAATAAGACCAAAATCATCCAGCCAATAACGAAACCTCGCCCGAGCGGAATCGAAATGAATGTAAGCTATTTTGTTCGGGGAATTAAGCCGCTGGATATTCCAGTCGCTGCGATTTGAGTCGACGCCACCATATCCAGTGGAGCGACAAATCAGCACACCGATATTGCCTCGATTTGGGCACCCACCTCAATATACGGAAAATAAGATTTTTCATTGCCCCTGCAAATGGTACGGCTCTGTGCATAGGTGGCGGAGATTGGGCGAATCGAATTGCTGAAATGGTTTAGCTAATGCCTTGCTAGTTAAGCGAAAGTTGGTTTTAAACCTACTTACCAGCCTTTATTTAATGATGATCACATTTTTTTTTGCAAAATCTTTGCTATTATTAACGACATAAGAGGCTACCGTGTTAAGCTTGATGTGCCGTCGTCTCTACCTATACGAAGACAGCGCAGCGATCCCAAACCAATTAGGTACTCGAACAATTTTAACTTTTTAATAGATCATTTATCGAGTTACTGGCGACACCGAAAGACTTATCGACTCCCAATTAGTGATATTATGATATTGTAATTGTTGTTGAAATAATATTAATTACTTATGAGAATTTTAGTAAATCGTACAAATAGTATATCGTAAATTGAGCTACTTAAGGCCCAGAATATACGCATTTGTATTTCTAATGCCCTAAATACGCCTTCAGTGTTATTCTCACCTGTTTGTATGCTCACACATGATACACATAAAGCACAGTATACACAGTGTATGTTGAGATCAGCTGAGGAGAATTCCGATGTTGTGTATCCGCCTTTGTCTTGTCATACTGTGATTACAACATCCTAGGTTAGGTGAAATTAATATTATGCTAGTAAACTACACCAAGATGGAATATTGTCAACATTAATTTGAAAACAATGGGAGTTCCATAGTGTTTTGACTAACTTAGAATCAAGGTATACGAATTGTGAGCATTCATATTTTTTTATGAATGCACAAATAAAACAGTTTTTAGGTATAAACTAGTGAAGAAAAATGTGTAGGTACGTGATGATGTTTCAAGCTCCAGAATAATGAATAACAATTTAAATTTTCGCGTCGCGGATTATTTTTAAAAGATAATTTTACTATATTATGATACATATATCGCATTTCCTGTGTATGTTAAGATATAACATAATATAAATAAGCATACCTTATTCCAAAAGCAGCTAAACAAAAAAATTATGTAAAAGTTTTACAAAAAGCTTGTATAAGCAAACAAAATCGAAAGTATCTTTTTTTTTATAGTCATTATCTAATTACATAACAAATTGCTTACTCACCTCATTATAATCACACCCCGTCGCCTTAGATTACTGTAGCACAGGTCCGTATCTCGCATGGCGCGTCTATGCAGCGATTCGGTTCCATCCGATTGCCTCATCAAGCAGAGCACGAATATCGAAACTGTCATAAGCGGCTTAAAGTGGCTTCCAATCTAGAGTGAAGTGCTATTGATTGGGACCTGTATGCGACTGCTATACCGCTATAGAGACCGATATGCGACTGTTATACAGCTCTAGGAACGCTAGGATTCGATGTAGGACTGAAGACGTGCTCAAATTTCAATTATAGTAGATATGATCGTAGAGTTCAATATATCGAATTGAGAACTACGTGGTACGTGGATAATATCCACTGGATATTCATTACTCATTTATATGGGTATAACGTGGTTTTAAAATACATAATAATATGTGCCACTGCCACCGACAGGTATAACGTCATATAACAAATTCCTTGTGTGCGATATTGCATCTGTGTCCAAGACATTGCATCTCATATTAAATTAGTTAACCCTCAGTCAAACCTCAGCTCTTGTCAGTCTCCATTTGAGAACTTTACGGTAAACGATAGAATATGGCTAAATCAACATAGGTACTAATTACTACTCCCACCTACTAATCCAATGTGTGTATATTAATTATGTTAATTAAATTACAATTACCTACAATATACTTTATATCACCATTGATGTGGTGGTAGAGTCAGCTATTATGGGACGTTTAAAAGTGCCAAAGTGCCCTGAAAAGAACCAACATACTAATAAAGAATTTTAACTTGAATACAAGTAAAAGAGCGTGTGCTTATAAGTTATTTTTATTAATAGCTAAGTTAAAATGTATCTTATGAGTGTTAAATCTGAGCAAACAAAACCTCAGACCGATCCATGATAGACTTTTTAGATTCCGGGAAAAACTGTATAATGTTTAACCACGTATCCAGGCTGAGCGTGAGTATACTGACCTGAAACGAAAGGAAATGATATTTACCTACTCATAACCTAAATAGATTCGTTCGTTCGTTCGTTTCAGCCAAATGACGTCCACTGCTGGACAAAGGCCTCCCCCAAGGTTTTCCACAATGAACGGTCCTGCGCTGCCCGCATCCAGGCTCGCTCGCTCCATAAATAGATTGCACGCACAAATTAGTGTTCGATTTGAAAGAATTATTTTTTTATTTATACATGTCAACGCGAAATTGTGAACTCCGTCAGTTTAAAAAATAACGCGTGAGATTGTAAACTACCAGTGGGTTAGGTTAGGTTAGATTGTAATCTAACTACGTCAGATTATAATCTGACGGAATTCACAATATTACGGTGACATACATATCCAGAGGCCGTCCGTTTAGTCCCCGGATAAACTAAGTTTACCTACTGAAATGACTGATATAAAATAATTGACACTGCTTCGCACAAAAATTGTTTTTGTTACGAAATACAACTGTGACTGTACAACAAAATACTTGCAACAAGTAAAGACATCACACAACTTGTTTCGGTAACGTTTAAAAAACTTATTATAAAATGGATGGAACAATATACGTACGACACTTTAGAAAAGTTAATCCAGACAATTACTAGTTTCTCTTAGCACACTTATTCACTTACACACAAAATCACACTCACACTATCACACACACATTTTTGTTTTGTTTTTCTATTTAAATTATTTTTTAAATTAAAATATAAAATTTAATCTAAACACTAAATTTTAGTCTTATGTTTTTTTGAGGAGGAGCCTGACTCTCGTTACACAGGTTAACCTTATACGAGAGCGGCACATATCTTGTAATTGTAAAGTGTTTATTTAATAAAAGTATTTTCATTTTCATTTTTCATTTTCATCGTTATCGTCTATCTACATTTTTTTGTGTTTTAAGTAAGGTACTTGATACAAATAAGGCCTACGTTCTAATAAGGCCTATACATCAGAAAACACAGATAAATAAATCCAACCGGGATAATACTTCAAGGACACGTACTCATATGCCCTACAACCCGGTAGAGTGCAAGAGTGTTCCGATCCACGATCCCAGCACCAATTGGCACGCGTTCTTCTAAGGTGGTGGGTGATTTCGTGCTCTCTTATAAAAATCTGGCGATTTCATCTTAAATTTTCGGTAAAATAACGCTGTTTTAGATTAATCTTTTCTTAGTAATCGTTTCTAAATATTTCTTACTAGCTAATAATTACCTTAATTTGTACTACTGGCTATAGATGCATTATTTGTAAATTTTTAAAGACAACAAGAGTGAGATATATAATAAGGCCTAGGCCTTATTTCAGCATGGTAGGCCATATTGGATACTTATGTCAACACCTGATTACGGACAAATTCATTAAACTAAATGAGTCAAAGAGTAACTAAATATTTATTTAATAAGAATGTTACTAACAGCACAGAAAATAAAAAGAAAACAGAGTAAAAAAAAATTACTAAACCTGTAAAAAAAGAAACAAAATACAAAACCAATAAAAAATAAGAAAAAAAAGCCGTATGTATAATTCTAAAGGATAGGAGAATCAAAGCTGGTATTATCATGCCTGTCTCGAAGACAATGTAGCAGATATGCTACCATAAAGGACTGCTTTTGGTGGTATCATAAAGATTATGTAGGAGTTCGTAAAGATGATTCAGAAGCCTTTTTATGCCCTGGTTCTAACAAAAATTGAGATCTCATTTTGTTTACAAAAAATCAAGACTAAATGATGTTCCTAAACTGACTTATTTAAAAGGTTTTATGTGTAGGCCTTATTCGAACACGGTGTTTTAATAAGCCCTATACAAAAAAATAATATTGTTTGTTTTTGATTTTTTTTTTTGATAATTTAAGTAAAGAATCATTACTTTGTTACTATGAATATTTAATTTTATCTATAATTTATGTAATAGTCTTAATAAGTGGAATTTAAGTTTTATCTAGAGATATACAGTAAAATTCTGTTTACTTGGTATGTAAAATTTTGATAACGCAAACAAATCGACATGTTTAATGTTATAAGACCGCATTTTGTTGAATACAACCTCAATTTTAAGGTCTACAGGCATTTGAATCATATAGGCCTTATTCCGTGTAGGTGATTTAATAAAGCCAAAATCAGATTTAGTTAAAAATTGTGTTATTTTTTGTAATATTATAAAAATTAAAGGATGGAAGAAGTTAATAAACCTTGTTTTTGTTGACTGGCGTTAATATTTATTGAAATATAAGCATTTAAAGTTAGGTAGGCCTTATTTGTATCAAGTACCTTATAAAACATCAATATCGAACTTCGTAAATAAATATTAAAATGTACCTTTGTCTCAGCCCTGTATGAGAAACAATGAGCAACTCCTTTATTCATTCCCTGGAGGATTCCGAAGACGTCTCCTGGACCGAGCAGCTCGTGGGTTGTCTCAGTCAAATCCGGACGCACGGACACCACGGAAACCACCCCGGACACCACCCAGTACATACTGGCGTTACAGTCACCAGCTACGACTATGTAGTTACCTAAAATAAATAATAATAAATATGCTTAGACATTTCACACTGCGCCATCTAGTCCCAAACTAAGCAAAGCTTATACTATGGTCACCAGGATAGGACTGGAAAAGGTACTTTCCAAGAATTTCCACAGCGACCAGACAACAGAGATTTGGAGTGTTGTTCATAGTCAATAAAACTTTCTTTGGTCTAATAAGTTCTTAAGAAGGATAAATTGTATACAGGGTGTTAGGTAAATGGGTATATGAGCCGACACCAGTCCATGTTAACATGGTCATATAAATGGTATGGTGAATGGTATAAATCAAAGACATCTGCTTGCATACCACTGATGATGAATAGTGTTTCATTAAAATTACAAATTTTTGTAAGCTAGGTGACTTACCGGGAAAGAACACAGTGTAGTTTAGTACACCAGCCAGTTGTCGCAAGAACTGCTCTCCAGTATCTTGGAAGATGTAGCAGTTCCTCAGATGGTGTCCAAACATAGCTGACATCAGGTCACAGCGCCTGACGTAAGGCGTTTGTTCCAGAAGTACTGGCAGCTGGTAAATATTAATTGAAATAAATCACTTTTAAAAATGCTAACTTTAAACGAGTATTATTGACTGAATGACTACTAATTAACATGTAACAGTACCTACTTATTTAGTAGGTAGTTAGATTCAAAGTGCAAAAATGATCATTTTTAAAAAGGAATGTTCGACTTTTGGCTGCAATATTGACAGTTTCTATTGGCACAGACTATAATTATGTTGGTAGCTAAAGTGGTCATTAAAGTAAAAGTTCTCGAATGAAATCAGCTAAATAATTTGCAGTGATGCCATGCTGTTACAATTTTAATCGTTACAACACTGCATAATATAAGTCACTATCCATTGTTATGACTATTAAACTTCAGTAGGTACGACGATAAAATAAAAATAAACAAAAATACAGTGTTCTTGCCAAAACTGCCATGCCATTGCCACGCATATCTGAACCATTAATAATAGTGGGAATGGAGCAGAAATATACAACTACATTCATGTAATGTTTCCATCTATAACAATCTGAGTTCAGACAGAATCATCGTGTTGCTTTGTAGGAATTTCACATTTAGAGCTTTTTACGAAAAAACGTTAGAATGTAACTTAGGCCTGATTTTTCAATCGTCGGATAACTTTTATCTGAAGAATAAGTTTGGCACATTGACAGTTCCAGTATGGGAAATATGTCAATTGACAAACTTATTCTTCGGTTAAAATTTATCTGACGATTGAAAAATCGGCCCTTAGTCGTATTTACCTGACGGCCGCGTTCGGTCACCCAAAGCTGTTTTATGTATTGCCAGAACTTTTTCAACTGGTACCCTAAAAATGTTATACAGTATTATAAAATTGTATGTGTAATAAATTGTGAGACTAAAAGGATACGTGCAAGATAAGTATTGCCACAATTGAGAATGTTACTAGGTATGCAAAATCACTTGAAACCTATGTTACAGTTAAGCTTTTACATTTACAAATACATTAGTTTTTATTTCATTCAAAAATACCCAGTAGTTATGATTTTATAGGCATTCAAAGTTCGCTTAAATATTGAGTCCCGCCGACGGTCACGTGACCCCGTGTGACGTACATTCACAGCGTCCGCTCACTAGAAAACGGATATAAATATACTTAAATATATTTTTTTTGTAAATACAAACTTATTATACATATTAACACCCAGACCCATCACAGAAATTAAAATTGAACCAAACCCAAACTTGATGCGATTGTGTCGTTTTATTGCGAATTACCTTCCAGCTCCATCATTAGACCCCGATTACTATATAGAATTAAAATACTCATCAATACAAAACGAACGAGCCCAAACTCGATGCATTTAAGTCGTTTTATTATAGAGTTCCTATGGCCACCTTCCAGCTCCATCATCAGATCAGCTCCATGTCATCATAATATTGCATGGTCATCCAAATCACATGTGTTTGCGAAATTTCAGCTTAATCGGTTGCCTGGAAGTGGGTCTTAATTCAGTTTGCAAGATTCCACCCATACAAATATGAGCCAGTCGTTGTAATATGACGTCACGCGCATAAAATGGCGGGCCGGCCGCCGCCCGCACTTTTAAAATTCAATATCTTGGAAACGAATTAACGTATTGAAATAATTCTTTCACGTGTATTTTTTATTTTTAACAGAGAATACAGAAAGCTAAAAAACAAAATTAGTGAACATTCTTCATTGCTAAACGATAAGTCGCATTAAACATCGTTTAAGGAATTTTACCATCGATTTTGCATTAGAGCTTACCGATAAATCTTTACCAAGTTAAAATTACCTTTGTATAAAGATACTAAAACATAGTATAACATACTTAACAAACTTTGATGAGATTTTGCGGAAAAAGAAATGTCTCACTCACTGCAAACAGATTTCCATAGGTAGTGATAATATAGATAATATAGTGCATTATTTCCATACAGGTAGTGTATAATAAAGTGCCTTATTTACTTCACAAAAACGTATTTACTTGATAATCCCTGGTTCTTCAGCATATCAATGAGCTCCCGAGTGGCGACCTCGTAAGCCGTCAGGGCATACTTCGAGGAGTACGCGACCTGAATAGCCGTAGCCACCACCGTTCCAGCCAGCATTTTTCCGCAAAGCAAGCAGATGGACATTATTGCTATTGGCAGAAAATCGTCCACCACAAACTCATCTCCACCAGTCATGGTCAGCTGGGAGATTATCACGTATATAGACGTGACGTAGTCCCAATTCCGTTGAGGCGTTTCTCTATAAGGATACATGTTATTAACAATGGAATTTTGTATGCATTTAAGTTTCTGTCTTCTTCAAATAACAAATTGGACCCGGTATATAGAGAGCACCCTAGGGTTCCAGAAATTTTTAACGTCTAGGCAGCGCCCACTCCCACCGGTTCTGCCAGTATTTAATAAGACTCATGAAGACCACGTCTCGGGAATAGGCTAGTTGCCTAAAAAAATTTTTTTAGTCCGTAATGTTTAATATCAAAAAATATTGGACACATATATTTTTATTTGTCAATCTAACAAATAATTACATAGTTATGGTGCGTTGAAGTTGCGCACGACGTCACAACGTGCGGCATTTTTAAGCAAGCGTTGACGTCACGGGCCTCTTCTTATGAACTTTGGGGCGCTTTATCTCTTTAAATTTTCATTAGTTTGAAAAAGTGAAAAATACGTGTAGAGTATTTTTTGATAAGTTAACTGACTGACTAATTAAAACTCTTGCTTTTTGACCCAGGCAACATCATTATAATGTACGAGTAGGACGCCATTACTCGATAGGCCGACGACCTCAAGTAATGGGTAACAGCTAGATAAAAATAAAACCGAAAAACGTGCTCTCTGATGATGATGACTGGAAACTCCAAAATTAATACAATTTTGAGACTTACTCATCAATGAGATGCATCTTGAGCGTGCGTATGATGCACACCGGTGACGTTGCGATCAGAGTCAGCAACCAAATGCATGTGAACGTATGGATGAGCAAGACTACCACTATGGCTGTCATCGCTACCTATACATGAAAAGGTTAATTTATTTTTTTAATTACACATAGTTTAGGCCTTATTACGTAGTTAAATAATTAATTATCAATAAATCAGCTAAAGGATAAATTGGGTACCAAGTACTTGGGTACACAGTCCGCTAGCTGGTCTAGAACCTTAGGTGTCTATTATCAGGTGAAAATTAATTAAGGTTGAAGATAATGCTTTGTGGGAGGTTAATCGTACTGAGATAGGATCTTCAGATTGTAACTCGAACCAGGAATTTAGCTTGGAAACTGTAATAACACGCACGTACAGTTGTGCATAGTTTACAGGACATAGAAGGCTTGAATCAATCAGATCCGTTCATATTGAAAAGATATGTGTGACTTGTTGTTACAGTCTTACTCCCCAAAATAAAGAAGTATGTGGCAATATTTTAAACTTAACAGAAAGACCCTTAGGTTATAAAAGGAACTAGGTCTCCCTAAAGCCTTTAGTCCTAAAACTCCATACAAAAGCTAACTCCCTATTTTTCTGGTGTAACAACTCCACTGAGCAAATCCAATCTCCGAGCTCATCAGAAATCGTTTATCCCAAGAAAATAAAGTATCTGTCCTTAAATATTGCTTTTATTGTACAGTCGATAGCACATCAGACAACATTTTTGTTACATAATCGCTTTTATCACAACTACACAGATGACACAGTGTTTATCTTATTGCGCGTCGGCTGTACGCGTATCATCAATACTTATTATCATAAGAGCTGTTACATCAGGAACGCTACGTTATTATTTAACGGTTATAGAAAGAAATGCTGGCCAAAAATTGACAATAACTTCCAGGTATAACTCGCGGTTGAACTCAAACTTAAGTCAGTTTCCCAGAAATTGAAGCCGAAAGTATTCATTCCTACTTCTTTAAACTCTTCAATAACAATATTGTACTGCTTCCATTGAACGATTTATATTCAGTTTTGCTTTGTTTATTGGTTCTACATTTTTAAATTACAAACATAGGTAAGGTACCTAATGTATATCAGCTGTACTTACTTGCAGTGTTGTTAAATTATTCGTAAGTTCGGCAGATGTTTTCCGGTAAAACTCTATTAGATATTTCAGCCTGAACAGCTTGTTAGCTCGAAAGCAATGCATTGCTGACAACTTGTATCTAAAATAATAATTTTGCAGTCCATAAAATAAAAAATAGTAACCCTTTAGTCCGTTATACAGGGTGACATTGAGGTCGATGGAATCCTTTTAAATTAAGACTCTACTCATGATACATAGTACCTACATTCCCTGAATATAAGACAAATCCAATGAGTTTTTTGTCATAATTTTACTATTTACTTGTATTAGTGTGCTCTTAAAAAGAGTTCAAAACGATTTACAGCATATCAGACTACACATTTTTGTTGCAGAATAACACCTAGGTACTACATCGAAATAAGATGCCGCAGTGTAAAGTTTGATGTGCTGTCGTCTGTACAAGTTTTAATTTTTGAAATTGTAACTCATTGGATTTGTCTCATATTCAGGGAATGTACTATGTACCATTAGTAGAGTCTTAGTTTAAAAGGATGCCAACGATTTAAAAGTCACCCTGTATACAATCGAAGTAACTGACTGTTTATCTTATATTTAGTTTAATCTAAAATTACGATAGACTACAAATACTAGCCCTTATGAAACCATATCTGCTGTGCTCACTGAATGCGCATGACTGATAACATTAATCTGATGATGTCTGCTCGGGGCTACCAAAACATGGCTAGTGTGGTCATATCGAATGGAAACGTCGATAATTCACTATCGATATAATGTCGGAAATATCAGACATCTTTCGAGATACTACGGTTGATGGTAAACGTTTCAAAACAATACTATATTGTTTACTGGGCTATGAACCGTCTTAGACTGCATCTCACTTAACATTGTGATTGCTGTCAATTACCTGCTTTTGGCTACATAAAAATAAGAATGAATAATAACCCAGTGGGTTTTTGGAGATCTTTTATACAATATTATCTTTCGTCAATATTAATACACCTATTGTAGGAAAAAAGGAATTTATTGTAACCAATCATTGCAAATTCTTCTTCGTAGCCATATCATCGATATCAGTTCGTCGATAGTCGACTCGTCACAACACTAAATTCATAGTATTCCACCCCGTATTGTGAAATTAGAAAATGACAAATTGAATTTGGATGTAATGAGTGTTGACGTGATATGTGTTCGGTTCAGTTCGGTTATGTTTCTATTTCTGTGGTAAAGGAACGCACTGTGGAAGCCATTAATATAATTAAAACTTAATTATAAAGCGCCAACGGTGATAAAACGCCACATATGAAATCAGGGTAAAAAAATCTCAAAAAACCTCATTTATTTATCTCAAAATAGGCTAGTTGCCTAAAAAAATTTTTTTAGTCCGTAATGTTTAATATCAAAAATTATTGGACACATATATTTTTATTTGTCAATCTAACAAATAATTACATAGTTATGGTGGGTTGAAGTTGCGCACGACGTCACAACGTGCGGCATTTTTAAGCAAGCGTTGACTTCACGGGCCTCTTCTTATGAACTTTGGGGCGCTTTATCTCTTTAAATTTTCATTAGTTTGAAAAAGTGAAAAATACGTGTAGAGTATTTTTTTATAAGTTAACTGACGGACTAATTAAAACTCTTGCTTTTTGACCCAGGCAACATCCCCATTAAATATAGCTTGCTCTTATTCATCACTTCGAGACAACATATTATTGTAGACTGGTGCTGAGAAGAAGTGGCGAAAGAAATTCAGTCGCTCTTGTCAACCTCTTTTTCAATTAATAGTTACAGAAAATACATCAAACAAGATAAGTAAAAGGTAACCGGTCACCTTACTTATCTGTTAAACGTCTCTATCTGAGACCTATGAAATCTAAAGCTTTAGTTTAGACTATCAGGAACTATATCAGGTGGTTAACCAAGCCCTTAATGAAAGTTATTCATCGCGTCTCTATTTATAAATCACGTGGCTTCTGCCATAGTCAGAAAATGGAAATGTCATTAAATCCACTAACTGTGTATTATGTAAGCTTCAATTCGGTTCTCATGAATACCAAGATGTTTATAAAATTAGTAATTTTTAAAAACTTATAGAATTTTGCAAAACTTTGTAAGTGACTTGGATACATTACATTAAATTAAAATGACTTAAAAACTAAAATTTAAAAATAACTTGTAAGTGACTTGGATTAATAAAGTTCGTTAACAATGTTTAGAAATACTTTTCAGTAATACACATTGGGAAAATATGAATAACTAGCTGACCCGGCGAACTTTGTTCCGCCTTAATGGCAATAATTAAGCAGACTTTTTTTTAATTTCGAACGGGATAAAAATCGTATAAAGTAGGTAGTCGTAGTAAGTATCCTATGTCCTTCTCCTGGCTCTAAACTACCCCCCTGTCAATTTTCAGCTAAATCGGTTCAGCCGTTCTTGAGTTATAAGCGAAGTAACTAACACGACTTTCTTTTATATATATAGATAGATTTAGGTATAAATATAGGTAATCAAGAATACTTTCTTACCGAAAACAAAACCCGAATAGCTCTAGAGGAAAATTGACGAATATATCCGACCAGACCCACAGCTTATGCTTAAAATATCGTTTCCTGCACTTCGAGGCGTTGACGATTAGATCTCCATGCTTGTTGACGAAACCCTAAAAGTAAATTTAAATTGCAATGATCAATGACATATACTGGGATCATCTAATCTCCAATGCAAAAGCATGACCCTCTGTAATTAATTAGAGGAAAATGGAGGATTTAGCTTACAACCCCACGCTGATACATCAGAGATGTAATGGAATTTTTTTTTCCGAAGTGTGTTAATTGTATTTAACCCAAGAGCTAAGTAAGGTACTGAATACAGTACAGTACAAAGTCTATACTATACCTAAGTACATTAAATATATTATTTGTATTTTAGGAACAATACAAACAAAAACAAACGAGGTTTCCTTTAAAATAACATGATGCTAATATAATAATTGTAATCTTTACACAACAACACAAAGGCATTGTTTTATCAAAGTAGTAACACTGAGCAACTCAAATATTACGCCTAAACATATTACTTCTTATCTTTCAATATTAAACAGACGTCTGTCTCATAACTTCTAACAAGAATGGCTTAAGACAAAGCCGTCGTGATTAATATCATAAAGCTGAAATGAAAAAAGAAATTTGCGAACATTTTTATGAACTAATCCTATTACTTTGAGAAATACAGTTTCAATTTTCACTCGGATTATTAATTCTCTTTAAAATTATTTGATACTGACCTGATGCATTGTTAGAAAGACTTTAACATAAAAGAATACGTCGAAAATGGACTGCAGCCAAAATATAACGTAACAATCGTTCAGAGTGGTCAATTCGTAAAGTGCTATCACATAGTCTATTGTCGCCATCAGGCATGTGAAGTAGCCGAATAACTGAAAATTAAAACAATATTTTTAAAATACCTAATGCAATTTCTTGATAAAATTTCAAGAACTTCCACCATTTTTCCGAGTGTGAAAATACCTGTATCTAATGTTAAAGGTAGCTATGTCAAGGCAGTTCTGAACAGAAAGGTCACGCGTGTAATTAGATCCGTCCAGGAACGAGAAGGTAATCGTATAGAGAGTAGAGACTGCCCACTGGTGATGTTCACTCGTAACAGTAATTTGTACCAACCAGACAATTACATTACAGACCGCTCGCCTTACACAGCGACCGCATTTCTGGTAAATCTAATACGTAATCGAGGTGACGTCACCTGATTCTCAAATCAGGACTAATCCTTAGGGGCAGATGCACTCTTCCATGATACGTATCATGGAAGAGTGCATCAGAGAGTGTAGCCAGTTTGTATATTTTGTTCCCAGTTTGACGGGGATAAACCTACGTCATGTTCGGTTGATTTAGCATGAAATGATTTTGCATCTCGAAACGACCTATAAAGCCGTTGATTGGTCTAATTAAGCTACGACGGCTCAAAAAATCTGACCAAACTGATGGTAACCTTAATGTTTCAACGAATACCTTATTATGGTCTGTTAGCGCTAAACATTATTGAACTTATTACGGTTGCATTAGGTACCTACTAATCAATGAGCGCTGGACGAACACATCCCGTTCCCTTACTCCTTGTAATTCCCTCGCATAATCCCAAGTAGGTAAGTTTTCATCTTATTATTGAGTAACACTAACACCTCCACATCTTCCCCGTTATAGGTATTTATCTTACCTGAAATATCCATGTGCCAGGACGCTGCAAGTTACTGATACTCGCGTAGCTATGGTACGTCATCACGCTGGTGGTTGACTTGGCCTGGCTGATGTTTGACTGCGACACGCGGGCATTGAGGTTACCTGCGTTAAAGAAATCACATGAGCATAGCTACTCCATAGTCCATACTAATTAACTGATCAGCTCAGATTAGATTAATGGTGTTTTAGAAGTTGGTCCCATATCAAATGTCAGTATTAATAATGAGCTAAATCCGACTAAAGTTAACGCCTCCGAGCAGTCGTTAAATAGTTAAGCTTGGCTTACTATCGAAACTTCTGGATTCGTTTCCCAGGTGATACACAAATGGAGTAAAATTGCTTAATGCAACTTGTGAAGTAATAGAAAACTGAAATCTCCAATAACAAAACATTTATATATCAGGCTCATTGAGTCACCAGCAAAAATAAAAATCATGTAGCTCACAAAATCTGACACCAAGGTCAAATAAATCGTATATTCTCACTATATTACATCAACAACTGTAACATCCTAGACAGTACCTGATTTCGTATATTGTCTGCAGCATTTCTATCGACGTGGACCACAAAGTCCTACATCTGACCTAAGTACGAAACTAAACGAGCCCAGAACTCGGTAGTTGGATTACAGCCTTCTGTAGTAACGAGTTAGTTAGTGGTGGAAACTCATTTTATCGAGTTACCAACACGTCCGACGCGCTTCAAAGTCAACACATGAACTTGGTCATTTATTTCTTTGTATAAACTTGTGTTATTTCATTTTCTCTGAGTTTTTGTCGTTGACGTGAGAAATTGTATTAGCAAAATAAATGGATAAAGACATGTTGGTCTAAGATGCGCGCCGTGATAACTTTTATCGACGTTAAAATGTAGGTATGGGCAAAATCGATAAAATGGCGTGATAACCGTTTATCGCGGCGCGCATCTTAAGCCTACTGAGGTGGAATTGTGTAAAGTAATCGTTATCATTTGACAGTTCATAACGTACGATTATTCTGTCAAATGCTTTGTTTAACTGTCTTTATCGTACGTTATGAACTGTCAAATGATTACGATTGCTTTACACAATTCCACCTCTGTACAATATTGGACCTAGACTTATAGGTTTACATACATTTCGCAATATTCGCTGAGACTGTGGTCAAATAAGTACCACTAGTGAAACAAAACAAACTAAGTGCTGCGTAAGCTGCACTCTAGTATTTATTCTATGGCTGCACTTAGATTGAAACCTGTTCTAAGTATAACAAAAGTAACTACTAAAAATATAATAAAGATCAGATTTTGTGCTTTAGTATTTCTAGTTAAAATACTTTTTACAAAGAGCTTTAAACAACCATTCATTTTACATACCTGGAACTTCGAATCTACTGTCACCGCTTCTCGAATCCACACCTGACTCTAAGGACATTAGGTCTACTTCAGAGTCTTCTGTAAATAAGACAACAATTTAAATATGTACACTATGTGATATGGTGGTCATCACATTATAATATTAAGTAGGTATAACGTCTCAATAAGTAAACGCATTCATGGTATGAAAATTGTAGCTGACACAGAAATGAACTTAACTGTTCTACAACATACAATAAAATTCCAGCGAACACTTTTTAAATACGAGTATAGTCACCCTGTCTCACTGCAGTTAACTATCTTTTTAATTTGAACACAGACTCTTACAAAAGAATTCCGTGATTAAACTACGACTATTGAATTCCTGTTAAACGGATCGGAAACGCTAATTCTAAAATTGGGTCACATGCAAATTCGCTCACAACGAACTAGAAATTGATGGAGTAAAGCGAATAGAGATCCTTTTTGCTAAACTGTTGCATTTCACTGTTAGATAGTTAGTCAATAAAAACAAAGTTTTTTTAGAACAGAAATACTTTTAAATATTTCTTTAATGCATTTTTTTCTAGAATGGTTTCCCGAATAAGCCCATTTGAATAAAATACCAACATATAGTTTTATTATCAGAGGTCAATACTAGTTTTTCAATATAAATTGAACCTATTAAAATCGATCGAACACGCTTTTGGAGCCCATGCCAATAAAATAGCCATGCATTTGGCTACACAATCGAAGTTAAGTTTTTCCCACACACTTTCCAACACTAACGCAACTAAAGCTGAAAATTCAGATTCATGCATTTTAATGTTTGCTGCGTCTTTCTTCATGCTGAATACATTTTTTCTTTTCTATTTTGAAACCGATTTAACGAAGCAAGAAAACTTTTTGTTCCCAAAAACAAGTAACAGTGATCATATAATTTAACGTGCTCTAGTAGATATGGCTTTGTATTTTATGGTCAATAAAGATAACCAAGTGTTTTCTTTTTCAATATTATGCAAAAGCACTTGAAAGTATAAAATATCGATTGTAAGATGAAGCTCATCCACTTTTCGGTTCCCGGGATACTTAAATATAACTAAAACATATTTTCCCGAATCGAAGCCGTAGCTACTTGTTGTCCCATAGGCAAAAGATTTATTGATTTCATAAATCAAAAAGAAGGTTGTCCCAAGAAACCATTTAAAGTTCAATATTTTATGATTACGAAATTCCCAAGCTTCTTTCGTGCATTTATAAAGCTCAAGAGCTAATATCAGGAAGAATGAATTAATACCGCTACAATGACAGCTCGCCAATATCGTAAGAGTCTGAGCCTCTTTGTCGGATTAAGAGCTTAGCTTTTGCCAATTAATCCACCTTTATTGTCACGAGGCACAGACAACTAGTACTAATAGATGCCGCGTGAGGCTACGTTCGACACTGAAGTCAAGAAGAAGCGTACGAGTATAACGGACTTCCACTGAAGTCAAAGCAAAGCATAACGGACTTCGCCAACTTATTTCTTTAAATTCACATCGAGGAAATAACGTTACAAATAACAAGGGATAGAAACATTCTGAAATATGTTTTGGTACAGAATCCAATGTGTGCTTTTCTTATATTCCACAGAATACTTCTGGATGACTTCATTTTTTTTACACTACTACATGGATGACCTAAATTTTTTTGCACACAAATGTTTGTGATGAGTGTGATTGGGTAAATAACTGAGTCATCAAACACTATTTTAAATTTGTTTAAATTGGAAAAGGTAAGTAAACGCGACATTGTTTCTGCTTCATAGTTCATAAGTAACAGGGGAGTTTGATTATTTCAAAATGGACAGCGGTATCTATTCAATGGTATTATCTACGCCAGCTTACCTGAAGAGGTGTCGTCGGCAATATCCATAGTTATAGGCATGATATAATCTTTGGATACTTCAAAGGCTTTGTACAACGGGTCCTGGATTTTGGGATAGTATTTAACGAGGTTGAAGAACGTTTGACTAGGTATCACCAGGAGATCTAGACTCCGGCTGGCGTATATCGCTACTGCTGAGCAAGATACTGGTTGCTAGAAGTGAAATTAACAGAAATGTATTAAATTGTACATTAGGACAGTCGTCAAAATATACACCTGATCTAAAATAACAGATTTCCTTTATTAATTTTGAACCTTGTTCTAAAGGTATACAGTTCCAAATCTAATGGAGAAAGTCATCGTGTGGTATTAAATGTAAGTACTTAGTGTAAGTATCATTTCTGTTCGGGTACTCTATAGCAAACCTCGCATACTGCTTCTTATTATAAAATAGTTTTTTTTTACTTTTAAGCAAAGTTATAATATTTTAAGTAATTTAAGACCCTTAGAGAATTCTTACAAATCAGTTTGTTGCGTACTTTATATAGCTTAAACATAATTATGACCTTTCATCCTTTGTCGTAATGGCATATTATTTTTATTTTTACCACGTCCATCGGTGCAGGGATTATATGATATTTTATTTTAAAACGAGATTCATGAGAAACATAAAACAATGTGACAATTTATTCATTTGCAATAACACTCACGCCAGTGAAATTGCCGAACATTCCGCCCGGGCCCATGCACGTTATCATTTCATTGTACGAGGTCAACACATCCACCTAAAATTAAATATTTATCAAATGCATTAACCTATTAATGTTTTTTTTTATTTTTTTTTTAAGTTTAAAATTTGTATAAATCATAACTGAAAAACTGCTACGAAAGTTCGTAGTCTCGTAGCACTACAAGTCCACCGAAAACATCATATTTATAACATCAAAGTAGACAAGCACAAAGAGCTCTTAATTTAATAACCAGAAGTGAAAATGTTCTACTCATGACTGACAACAATAAAATATTATTTAACAGCTACGAAATTTCGTAGTCTCGTAGCGTTCGTAGCAAATAGGATTTCATATTGCAGTGTAAGAAGCATTAACTAACCAAGAGGTTTTATTAGCTAGAAATAATTATACGAAAGATTGTAGATTCGTAATATCTTGTGCATATGCAATTGAAAGTTCTCTCGATTTTTTCACTTGCTTAAATATACGAAAAAAATAAAAATCACACTATACCTTGCCTCGGTAAATAATATAAATATAGGGCTGCACGTCTCTGCACTGTATCACCGTTTCGCCCTTCAGGAAGTACATCTCGTGGAGGTGCTGTGTGATAACCCTGATGAAGGACCTCTCGACCTTCCCGAAGAGTGGCACTTCTCGAAGGGCTCTCTCGTACATAAAGACTAAGGTGTCTTCCATTAGCGCTGTATTCAGACACCGGCATATTTCCTAAGAAACATTGGGATTCAAATATTTAACTCTAAAACCCAAATACAACTAAGTAACTACTTACAGAAGGCTTATTTTCGGACTATGCATTGTCATATAAATCCATAAAAATACACCTCCGTGTCATTTACAGGCCAATTACTAAATAAAATAATCGCCAAAGAGAGTTGTTTGTTTTGTCATTGTTTGTTGTTACAAAATTAATTTAGGATACTCATTCACTCGTCGAACAAAAGTAAACCCTAAAGTCTTTAATAAAGTCATCCCAAGGGCCTGATAAACCTATTTTGTTCTTTACTATTCTAACCCTCCATTGTAAAGTTAGAACCGAACCCGACAACAAAAATTCCAAACAATGGCTACCTTATTAAAAGTTGGGCGATACCAGCAGGTGGAAAGTATTCAAAAGGGAATGCCGGCCACTTTCTGACCGCAGATTCCATAATGGCTTAAATATGAAATGGGAACAAAGACAACCTAGCCTTGTAGATACCGGTCAGTTTTCAGTTTTTTAGTAGCGACACTTTTTTCCATTATTACTTAAGATGTCAGCTATCTACTCGTTGTTAGTGTTTTACAAATAACCCTGTATAAATAGGGTGATGAGGTATGTGGTTATAGCATGACACACTACTGCTTCTCTATCTAAAAAGTTTCACATTACTAGTCCATGACATGTCAGGTGAAGTCGTGTGACGTCACCAGACATCTTAACCTCTAGCTAGACAATAACATTTATTACGGATGCGATTTCTATAACTTTAAATGGTCTTTTAGTGAAAACAAACTTGAGGGTTGCTCCCGTTGGTCCGCTTCCAGACATACTCAAAATACTTCACCGTTTTCGCAGTGAGCATCAGATCGACGTTCTCTTGATACAGAAAGTTGGCCAGGTCCCTTGTTTTTTCCTGAAACGTATGGAAGTGTTCATTAAAACTAATCTAATTACAAAGCTGGTAATATTTTTAATGGTTAAAGTTTCTCCATTAACCGCACAGGTGTTATGGGCGTTAGTTATTATTTAGCATACTTTTATAAACTAGCGGAAAACTGGCTTGCGCTGTGCTGTTTTTGGTTTTAAATAAAAAGTATGAAAAGTTTCATCATTAACGACATTATCCGAGCACCTTTGCTTGTAACTATGGTGATCGCACACCTGTGCGCATTAATCGAACCGATTTAATCCTTTAATTAATTAATTACCTAATTAATGCGATGCGCATTCTCTAAGTTTGCATCACTAATATGATGAACACCTAGTTGCGTTAACTTTAATTAGAAAATTTCATTTGAAGCTAGTCAGCTATTCATTTCCGAGTTTTCCGATACTAGTTAGTATCGATGAGTTTCTATTATAAGCCTACATTTTCCTAAAAACTACACTGGTACACTAACAAGCTAAAATAGAACTACTGAACACACTTACATTATGTTCGAGCAAAGCATGCGTTTCCGTAGACCTTGACGCAGCGACGTATCCAAACATAAAAGCGAAGTAGAGGAAGCCCGTGATCTTAAGAGCCATGTTCAACCACACGTCCACAATGTTCGACACGCCCGCTGGAGTGCAGCCGCACCCTAAAGAAGATTTTGAAATAGTTATCATTCTAAGGCCCAGAACAGACGGTGAAACGCAACTGCAACGAAACTGCAACTGCTAGTTACTTTTGAGTTGCATCTAAGTTTCTGCCATAGCGTCCGTTGAAAGACCACATGACGCGATCAGTTTGAAACTTTCAGATTCAGTTTCATTCATCAGAATCATCCGAAAGTTGCAGTTTCGTTGCATTTGCGATTCACCGTCTGTTCTGGACCTAGCCCTCCATTTTAAAGTTGGAATATCGTGATTGTCAATGGGATCCCCATTGTGAAAAAGTTGTCAGATCTCATGTAGAGAAAAGCTTCTAACTCTGCTCTCTACGCCCTAACTCTACAAGCCTTATATAAATGTTCTAGAACAGTTGCATGTCAAACCAAACAGCTTGAAGTTTGTCTTATGTTGCCAAAATATACAAAAGTTATATATGTAAATGACTAAGATACACAATATACAGTTTAGCTTAATATGCCGCCCGTCTATCCAACCTATAAGCCACATTTATAGGAATTCCGTATTTTTCGATAAATCCTATTATCCTGTACTATCAAAGCCTCTACTATAATAATACATATAATTAACTAAATGTAGCTGTTCAATAAGCTAATGTTATTATTACTTCCACTAATAGAGTATTGGATAACAAAACGTAATAAATATTTACCCACAAATATTTCGAAAACCCAGTAAAATGTGTTCGCGTATTCAGAAGCCGCATCTGTAATCGTATATGAGTGGTAAATGTGTTTCTATAGCAACAAAGCGTATAAAGATTATATTTTGGTAAAATGCTGTATAGAGCAAGTCCTGAGCCCATAATAAAAGAGGCAAGGAATTATGTAATGCCGTAATACCATTATTAATATTACAGTGGATTGGGGATGATAAAAACAAGCGGGATTTAAGGGATTCAAAAATACTATTTTAGTAGCTAGGTTAAAGAAAAAATAAGGTGCTTTTAATAAAAGTCTGTCAACCATGATTAATATGAATCGACATGAATTTTTTGGGAAATTTTCTCGGCACAGTTCGATTTTATGAAAATAAAACTTGGATAATATATGGTTACTCTTTCACTCCAAAGGTTCTGGGTTTGATTCTTGGTAACACCACACATTGAAATATCACTTTTTGTATGAAATTGTTTCCAGTAGATCTTTGATTCTGTGACATATTAAGCTGATGTCCACTGATGATGATGAATCTGACACTAGTATAATAGAAACCTGTTTAACTAACAAAAAAATAAAATAAAATAAAATTTTGGTAATTCTGGATACTTACACTTAATATCCACCTTATTAGTAGTCACAGTCAGGGCTCTGGTACAGTTGACCAAGATATAGTATGTGTCGGGGGGCAGATACGGCGTGCAGGTGTTGATGAAAATGACAGTCGAGGCGAAGTTCACGATAGTGACTGTCACAGGCAAGTATTTGAGAAGCACGATGATCGGGTTCACTTGCATTATGTCACTCTCCCAATATGAAAAGGATTGCATTACTCTACTGACCTGCAATAATATTCTATAGTAAATTAAGATTTAATTTGTTTTTAAAACCGTCCAAAGAGAGCCGAAAGCTCTTAAAAAACTTAAACTCCATTAGAGAATCTAAATAAAAATAAGGTAATCGCACTTACTAAAAGCATCCGATTCATCCGATAAAAATCCATGTCTGTATTGTCGTTGACAATTCGTAACTGAAAAACACGAGTGTGATTAAGTTAAAAATTATTTCACCATATGAATAAAAAAACTCTTTTGACAATAATATCTTTTGAAAAGTAGGCTTAATACCAAATCGTTACTCCTTACCACTTGTTCAATCGGAAATACAGAGATAGCATCGATGAAAAATGATGTTTTCAAATATCTTGACACAGACAGCAAGGGATGGGTGACCAGCAGCGACCTCTCGTTATAGTACGCTACGTATGCCATGACCACTATATCCACGTACAGTAGAATGTCTGTCCAGGGATACGCGCCCATATGTCTGTGTTGCTTCGTCTGAAAACAAATTAATAAAGCTTCAACCACACCAACGCGTGCAGATCGCCATCGCCGTCGCGTTCATAGGCCAATGACAGGTCGCGCGACCGTTGGTGTGGTTGAAGCTTAAGTCTGAAGAAAAAGAATTTAATGAATGCAGTCTTCCTCTCAGGACATTCCATTCTGACAACGTTAAAACAGAGACAAGCGATCGAGACAAAATATCTAGACAGGAAAACCTTGTTCGCTCGTCTCGGTCTCTTGTCTCGGTCACTTGACCCAATAGCGGCGACAATTGCCGTCCTACGATCATTTCTGAAAATACATATGGGTGTGTTTTTTCGATCGCAACACCTGCGCGGCTGAACACATTTTATGCGTTTTCTTGATTTTCCATACAGCCGTGTGAGCCCACACGTAAAGCGCGTTTTGCCTATTTAACGCCTATGCGGACACACCAATAAAGCTCAACCTGCTATTATTTACTTGTTATATTTGTCTTCCGTCTGATAATAAATGTTAATAAGCTGAAGGAGTGGAAACCGCGTCTTGGCAAGTACAGCGTTGGCTCCAAGACAAATTAGCGACAATATTATTATACTCAAGATGGCTGGTGGAGAGCGTTTAGAAGTGGTTAGATTAGTAGGAGCGGTTTCATAAGCGTGCATTGTGATGTCACATAGTAATAAATGTTTCTGTAATATTATATAATGTATAACAAATTGTGTAATATTTCTTTAAGGAAAACCTATCCAATATAGCCAAATAACACTCACATTACCATGGTTTCCACACTAAAAACTGCTTTTTTGTAATACGTATAATACATGGTAGTGAATAGTAATATTACCAATGAAAGACCCGGTTACCAAGGAGAAGAGGAAAATGATTTTATTAAGACTCTTTAATCCGATAAGTAACTTTGTATCAACAATACAATGTGAGCACTATTCACTTCGATACTCTCATTCGAAGAGTTTTTATACTCATAAAAATGTAACCAATACTTTTAGAAAAGCAGTATATTTAAAGCATGTCCTTGAAAGCTCTCCTTGAAAGCTTTTTTAGATTCGAGAAACAATATAATTGCCATCATAGCGAATTACCAAAATTGAGACTATTATGTTTACACAAAACGTAGTTAATTTATATACTGTGACATTTACTACTTACACCTAGTTTTTATTTAGCTCTTAAGACTAGCTATTTTCAGCAAATGCTGTGAAAGCTCGCTTCTTCTTCTTTTCGTGTCGACAACAAACCTACAGAGTGTCAGCCCAAAACTCCGCCACAAGAGTGGCGTTGTCAGTAGCACTCATCAAATCCTCCTGAGTGCAGTTGCTTGGGCACTCAGGGCATGAAAGCTCGCTGTACAAATGAGACTAGAAAGGGACACACGATCTAACGGAATAACTAAACAGCATCATGTACGGCGCTTTGTTCTGATTCCTAAGACACGTTAATGGAATTACTTTGAACATTTAAATACATACATATTTTATTAAAAAGCTTTTATCTTGCAAACTTTTGTATACGTTAATTATATTGCAGTTGTTTATCTTTTGATTAAAAATTTGGCATCTTAACTTAAAGAATAGATGTTAATTCCCATAAAATGCACATTTTTTCTCTTTCATTTTACATTTTCTACATCTAAAGGTAGGTATTTAAACAATTAAAGCTTCATAGTCGCGATTACTTACCATCCATGACAGTTATTGTAATAAGCATGAAGTTTGCCAAATTATTAAAAAAAAACAACACAAAGTAATTAAAAAAAACAGTTGAACTGGAGTTGAACTCTTATGAATTTAATTTAAGTTATGCTTCGCCGTTTCTTTTGTTCTTCAAAACATTGTAGCCAACGATTTGTAGAAGTTAAATTATAGTGCTTTTTTTACTAACATTAAAGCAGCAGATATCTTTTAACGAGGAACAAAGGAATGAAAAGATGCGTCTAAAATCTAGAGTTCAGTATCAAAGAACGGAATCTGAAACTTATTTTTTATACGTGACCATTTCCAAGTTTTCATCATTATTTAACCTTAAGTAAAGGCAATAAGATTCAAAATGATGGGAAGTATATTCCCATTAAATTATACTTACGGCAATATTGTAAGGTATCATTATAATGTAATACAAAGCCAACACAAATCGCACGCCACACCAGAACTTCAAAAATATGCCATGAGGAGTAATGCAGCCTGGCAAGAACAGGTAACGAATATATCTGAAATAAACCATATGATAATTTTAACGAATGTAACTTTAACCCTTACATAAAACGAAATGTAAACTGCTAGCTTTTAACCCACAGTTTGCATGGAATTCGATCTTACGAGAGTCCAGCATCTAAAATCATTTTATTTCTTTACCAGTAGTTTCGAAGCCTTTTCCAAACAAACAATTAAATCTTACCTCTTTATTATGTACTAGCTGACCCGGCGAACTTCGTACCGCCTTAGCGTAGAGATTTTCTCAATATTTTTTTCCGTAAGAACCATCCTTGGACTTCCACAAACATTTAAAAAAAAGAATTGTCGAAATCGGTTCAGCCGTTCACACGTGATGCCGTGACAACGCGAAACGGGTTTCATTTTTATATACAGTGTGTCCGGGCTTGTAGTGATCAAACTTTAATGGCGTAATCTATGGACAATTTTATCGATGAAAATACTTCAAATTTGGGGCTTGACCCATTTGTCGCAAAATTACGAGGATTTAAGTTTTTAATTTTTAGTTTTTACCTCTTCCTTCAAAAACAAGTGAAAACGTGGGTAACTTAACATTAATAAGCAAATATTTGATATCATGCGATATTCAATAAAATTATCTATTAGTAGAAGTAGAAAACGGACACAAGTTTCATACATTTTATGGAAGTAAGAATGGATTGAATTAGAAAAAGACATGATTTTTTTCACTTCTTTTTCACTTATTTTCCAACACAAGAAAAACCAGGTCGTTAAAGTATGTTTTATTTGCATTGTATTATTAGTATTTGAGCTATTTTACAAAATGAATGTAAATTTATTAGTCTACGTCTATTAGTTTCGACGTAATTGTTGAACAAAGGTACCCTTTCCCAGCCGGTTCCATAGCGCTGCTAACATGCGAAAATGCACCGCCTGAAAGAATCACACAACCTATTCCGACGCGCTATGGAACCGGCTGGGAAGGGGTATCTTTGTTCAACAATTACGTCAAATTTAATAGACGTAGACTAATAAATTTACATTCGTTTTGTAGAATAGCTCAAATACTAATAATACAATGCAAATAAAACATACCTTAACGACCTGGTTTTTTATGTGTTGGAAAATAACTGAAAAAGAAGTGAAAAAAATCATGTCTTTTTCTAATTCAATCCATTCTTACTTCCATAAAATGTATGAAACTTGTGTCCGTTTTCTACTTCTACTAATAGATAATTTTATTGACTATCGCATGATATCAAATATTCGCTTATTAATGTTAAGTTACCCACGTTTTCACTTGTTTTTGAAGGAAGAGGTGAAAACTATAAATTAAAAACTTAAATCCTCGTAATTTTGCGACAAATGGGTCAAGCCCCAAATTTGAAGTATTTTCATCGATAAAATTGTCTATAGATTACGCCATTAAAGTTTGATCACTACAAGCCCGGACACACTGTATATAGATTGGTATAGACAATTATAATTATTACAATTCGGCCTGATCGTCACAATTACCATCAGATGAGATACAGGCCAAGAGCTTCCACATTGTGGATAAAAAAAATCCACATTCTTCGTCCAACTTAATTATTTCGTTTTGAATTAATATTGAAATTGTAATGAACTGAATAAAGAAATATCTTTTGAAAAATTACATTCATTATTTAGCATTGTATGAATACAATACATCACGATTAAACAAATTAGGGCTCCAAATGAATACGTAATGCCAAGATCCAACTTTTTCTTTTGTTTTTAATATTATACCTACATAATTCCCGGCATACAGGGTGGACAGGTTTGAAAAAAGTTAGGCAGTGGATATAGAACATGTTTCATGTTCTTTTTTTTAATTCTGTTTGATTTATGTAGACTATCATGACGTCCTAGGAAGGTACCTCATAATATACACCATAATCAGTCTAAAATAAACATTATTTAACTTGTTAATCTAAATATCTAATGTAGGTATCCAGGCTCTGCAAAAACAAATCTCTGAAATCTCGTCTCGAAAAAAAAGAGTAATGACATACTTACGTAAATTAGCTTACTTGACATAAACTTATACGGTTTATGTTTATTTTTTGTGTAACCAGTGACAAAGTTAAGTAGGCGTTAAACATTTTTGGATAATAAGTTTCAACAGATTCCTGAAACAACTGACACTCACCTCATAACGCCCAACTTGTCGAAAGTCTTCACATACTCAACTCTGTTGCGGCCTGTGAGCACCACGAAACTCTCCTTTATTTCTTGCTAAAATAAAACCGATTTTCGATTAGCAAATAATATATCAAGAGTTTATAATACCTGTTGGTATTAGGTTCATATTTTCCAAAAATAAACTCGGATATTGGATTCATTTAATTACACGTTATCGTTACGTTACACAATTGTATATTATTATCACAGAACAATAAGTAGGTAGTCTACGAAAATATTTATTAGTATGTAACGAGTTGCACGAATCCTCTATTGTCATGCCAGGAAACAAATCGACGTCCACTGGTGAGTTTGAGAGAGCCCATTTCCCTCCAAGATTTCCATAAGGACCGGTGTTCTTCCCGCGACCTTCACCAGATCGTCAGTCTACCTGCCCACGCTACGTCTCCCGAACCGTGGACTCGTTTTAAACTCGTATTAGGTACTAGCATACTAGTAACTGGTAATAGTTCGATGTCAATTTTAGTCAAGTTTTTTGTTTTATAAATATCATTGTCTTGACGTGGATTAATAGACTCGTGGTTAGTCCCTCTATGATAAAATTAAAACTTGATCTCGTTTCTTACCGCTATCCTGTTAGTTTTCGCATCCAATCGACCTGTCAACGGCTTCGCTTCTTCATAAAATTTCGCCTTGTTTCTAAGCTCGGGGTCGTCCAAAGCCTATTATCATAATTTTAACCAGTTATCTACTTATTTACACAGCAAAACTACTTTGAAGTTTTTTACAAAGCCGACCCTGTATAACAGCTCTAGATAATAATCCGAAGGGATTAAGAAACTCAAAAGTAAATAATTTTGGTTAGATAGATAGACAAAATGTTTATTTACAAACAGGTTACTAGCAACTACAATAACAAAGTATTTACTATCCTCATAAAGTTTGCGAGCTTTATTGATATTTTGTACGCAGACAATAGAAAATCAATCGCTTGAATAAAATACTCGTAACATTGTGTAATGTAGAACATTATACAATGTACGACTATTTTATTAAAAAATTTGTATGCTCGAGTTACTGCCACCGGTTTATTAAATTAAACGCTAAAATAGAAAATAGCTGTTCCGAGCGTCATGTTATTTTGATAGATTTATTGTAACTACAATTTTGTTTGAATAACAAGGAAATATTAGTAATATATTTGTAAACGGACTTTGTACATCACAAAATAAGAGCAATTTTTATTAAAAAAAAAGAAAAAAAATACATAGAAGTTTACAAAGTAAAGTATCTTGGTTGCTTTTTTTTTCGGATTCGCACGTCACACAGCTAGGGTGATCAACATGTAATGAATCTAAATAAATCACATACCTACCTACTACGTAAATAAATGAATTCCATACTAATTTAATTAGGTGAATAATACAAAATAATTATTTTAGTATGAACTACACTGAACATTGACAGCGGGGCGCCACCGTCAAATCCGTCAATACCGAGTCGCTGGTACCGATTTTTGCCACTTTGGACAACCATAAATTACCGGAGCTGCGGAGGGCGCTAATATCAATACTGGGTTTGGTTTTTTATTTTTTCTTGAAACGTCAAGCGTTTCAGAATCGTGGGACTATACGTCAGCGCACGCCCGCTGTATGTCACAAATGTCACACAACACGACAATATACGTAACAGCTAGACTCCCTACTCGACTTTGAACTGGTCACCCTACTCGCAGATATAATGCATGAATCACCGTGATAATGGGGTGACTGATGTCCGGGAACGTGCCCCAGCTCTGCACGAGTGACGTGTATTCCACGTGCAGCAGGATGCAGTTTGTTGACGTCAGCACCGTGTACACCTGGGGGGTGATTAGGGGGTGTTAGGGGAGAATGAGCCTTATTGCAGCCAGACAGAGTGGGACGAAAATTAGCACTGTTTTGGTAGCAATTTTCACAGGTAAGCCCTTTCACACACATTCTTTACATGCAAAACCATTTAGTAAGATACTAATACTAATAAAATAAGTAAGTACCTACTTAAGTTACCGCATAATTTACTAATCTAAAGATTCGAAGATTACATAATTCACCGAGACAAAGTAAATAGGTATTTAGACGTGATGCCAAGTACCTAAGCGCAAACTTAATTTTACTTAATTTACTTAATCAATCAATAAAAGTTCTAAAACTGATTGAATTAAGTTAAACTAACCTTTGGCAATCCAAAAAGCATTTCGACAACTCCAAAATGGTTGCTGGGTCCGATAGATTTATCTATTTTGCCGTGATGATTCAGTAGATTACAATGACCCTGTAATAGACCTAATTAATTTAAAAGAAATAAAATTTTACTTTGAGAATTGTGCGCAAAAAGTTAATAATTTGATAATCTAATTTCAACCTTTTATACTAACTGTTAAGATTTAAAATTACTATCTAGCTCTGACCTTTTGTATGATGTACATATCGCGGCCGATGTCACCCCCATGCTGGACTATCTCGTTGTCCGGCAGAACAATGGTTCTGCTGTTGGCAGCTACCGTCTGCAGAAAGTCGCGGTTGCAGCCCTGGAGACGAAAATAGTCTTAGTTGTTTTAGGCCTAAATGTGGTGTTACATTGTTTCGACATTTTCGTAGTTAAGTATAAGTGGGTAATATACTCGTTATGTGGTAGATATAATTTAGGTACACAATAATCATTTACAAAATCGAGACGTGGAAATTGTATTGGGCGAAAATTCGAGAGCCTAGAGCGCGAAAAAGAAAACAAAAGAATATTAATATTGGTCGTCGAAGAAGAATGTAGTTTTTTTAGTGGCCAGTGTGCGTGAAAATTCGAGATATGAGAGCGAAAACAACAAAGAGTTACAATAGTGTTCGTCGAAGAAGAATGTAGTTTTCTTAGGCCCAGTTTTTTGATTCATAGTTATAATAACAAATTGTTAAATTTTGCTACTAATGGTTAAATATTAACAAAATGTTGACTAATAGTTTAAAAATGTACTAAAAGTCAAGCTAACCATTGTTCGAAAAACATTTTTTTCAGATATTTAACCACTTGTCATTTGACATCTGTCAAATTTGATTATTGGTTATTTTAACTACAAATCAAAAAACCGGGCCTTAGTGGCCAGTGTCGCACGGCCTAGGAGGTGGCCGTGTGCAGCCGCAACAGTTCTAAATAGTAGTAGGTACTTATGTAGTAGTTGCTAAAAAATAAAAAAAACATCAAAGAAGACCCCTACGTTTCCTATATTTACAAAATTAAAGCACGTGTACCTGAAATATGGGACAATGTAAAAGAGTTTCCACCATTTCTATTGCCAGAACTTCTTGTTGGATGTTTGTGGACATATCTCTGAAAATTTCCTCCGTTGATACAGCATTATTGTAATACCTAAAAATAATGTTATAGGTAGGTTCATTTTACTAAACAGCAGCGGCGTAAAGCATTGACTCCAATTTTAATAGCGCTAAATAACTAGAAAAGACTGATAAATTATACCGAAATCAGGTTTCGGTCCTACAATTATTCTAAAACAACAAACAAGCATAACATTAATATTCAACCAGAAAGATATTTTCCTTCGAACCACTTAATTAAGTATTATTAGTGTTCGATGAAACAAGAAACTAAGTTAATATAACCAACAACTCCGCATCAATTAATCGGTATAAGATTATCGGATAATATTTTCCTTGTTTTGGAGGAACAAACTTTACCATTGGACGGAGAAAAACTTCTTCACGCGCGCTTTGATCTTGCCGCTTACGTGATTCACCGTCAGGAAGTAGAATAGTTCTCGCATCGATTCCTGGCCACAAAATAAACTTTTGCACAAAGGGTATGTTTAAGTATCCATCCACAGTATCCATACTAATCCTAACTTACTTTATATCTACATAATACAATGTATCATTCGAGGAACTCTGGTCCGATCGATACCCGTGTGAAAAGTAGGTACATAATACTAATTCTACACATTCGTAAGGAATGCACTTGACATAAACCCCCAAAAAACAAAAAAACGGTCATCCACTTCAAATGTCATTCCATAGCTATAGTTCCAAAATACTGAACTGTCCTATGCATGACATTGACAGTGGGGCGCCACCGTCAATACCGGATCGCTGGTTCCGATTTTTGCCACGTTGGAAATCATATAGTTGAACGATGGTAGCGCCTACCTGTCATTGAGTTTGGTGGGACAGTTCAGCGTGGGTCATCTATACTCAGAAGCCAGTATGAGGGATATATAAAATACTGCTAATACTATGTAATAATTTAATATTATGACCAGAAATGACATCTATGTATAATATACTTTGGAACATTGGACCCCGATGGTAAACCGCAACAGAAAATCACTGGGTTACAACCGCAAATCACGACCGCATGCACTATTATCTGCAATTTTAGCTTCAATGTAGGTATATTTAATTTTGTGGGTTGGTACGATTACACACCTTAAATTTAAGCTTCCTTTGTGTACTTAACAGGAACCAGCTGCAAATCTTCGCTGTGTACAAGCAGCTGACATACGAGCCCAATACAATTATTAGCATTATCTGCAAAATTAATTACGTATTCAAGTATACAGTATAGTGGCCTTTGTAGCCTATCGAACATGAACATGAACATGGTCCTGCCATAAGGAAGTCAAAAGTAATTTATTTTTGAGCTTAAAATAATTATAACCTGGACAAAATAACAAATCATCATCATTATTATTGGGTCTTTGAGACTAATCTCAATGCAGAAAAAAGACCGTCTCTAATTAACCAGAGGCAAAGGGTATTTTTACCACCACCAAACAATTGACGTACTTTTTGAAACAGTCAAAACGAGACTCTCACATAGATTTTGTACCTATGGCAATAATAACCAGTGACGTCACTATTTTGTCAACTCAAATTACTTTTTTCAATTGCAATGCAACCAAAAGTCTTAATTTACAGATAATTTAAAATTAATTAAGTTTTTAAAATTACAATGAAGTGCCTTTTAAAAAAAGTTGTGCTTTAGAATTATTCGGGAGCGGTGCGTACAATCCCTAATCTGGCCAGTCAACTTGGGAACACTAGATGTTCACATATTAATTTGTCACCTTCGTAATACGCCTTCTACTTACTTCTTCTAGAATAACACAACTTACTACAAACAAGTCTCCAGGTCCAGGTCCCATGTCAGAAGTGCCAGTGCCAGTGAAGGCCGAAGTGCCAAACAGCAGCGAGGACACAAGCGGCTTCTCGTGCTTGGCTTCATTGGTCATGAACACCTTCGTCTCCCAGTAGATGAGTTGAGCCATCCAGGAGTTCTGGAGGTTTAATATGACTATTTATATGACATCATCGTCATCATCATTTCAGACACGGGACGTCCACTGCTGAACATAGGCCTCCCCCAATGATTTCCTCATCGCCCGGTAGGCGGCGGCCTGCATCCAGCGCCTGCTGCTTCAACGTGGCTAATAAAATAATAAAAATATTTAGCGTATTCTTCACTCATAATATTATGGTGTCATAAAAAAGTTACTTTAAAATTCATTTAATAAAACGGGTTCAGCTCATAAAATATGAAATTACTTCCTATGACACAAACCGAAATAAAATTTTCATTTAAAAGTCGACATACTGATGTGAGCCGACATAACGATAAAAATGAATAAAAGATGCTACTTTACAGTTTTAGGGACTGCGCACATTATGACAAGGTATTTTGGGTGACGAATGAGAATTTATCTTTATATGTCAAAAAATCCCTTGATGTGCCCACGATAATGTGCGCAGTTCCTTATACGTCTAGAAAATATCACTGAAAGGTAGAATTAATTTACCTCACGGCACAGTTTCCTAGGACACGCGAACAGGTAAAGGAAGCAGCCTGACCAATAGCAGACAATGATAACGAGAATAGTGTACTTGATAAGGCACAGCAGCTGAAAACAATACAGTAAAACATAGGTAGGGGTAGTAAATTAATATTGAGATCATCATCATCATCAGATTATTTAGTCTCCACTTCAGGAGCACAATCCTCTGTAAATTAATCAGAGGCAAATGAAGGATTTGGCGTGCACTCTCCACGCTGACCATACGGGTTTGATTGAAGGCTGTATTTTCACATATTTTTCCCTCAGTCACCTTTAACAAGAAGAGTGGAGAAAGGCCCAGTTTTTTGATTCGTAGTTATAGATGACCCACGCTGAACTGTCCCACCAAACTCAATGACAGGGGAGCGCTACCATCGTTCAACTATATGGTTTCCAACATGACAAAAATCGAAACCAGCGATCCGGTATTGACGGTGGCGCCCCACTGTCAATGTCATGCATAGGACAGTTCACTATTTTGGAACTATAAAATAACCAATAGTCAAATTTGACAGATGTCAAATGACAAGTGGTTAAATATTGGAAAAAAATGTTTTTCGAACAATGGTTAGCTTGACTTTTAGTATTTTTTTTTACTATTTCTTTACATTTTGTTAATATTTATAAATCCATTAGTAGCAAAATTTAACAATTAGTTATTTTAACTATGAATCAAAAAACTGGGCCTTATTGGAGAGAAATATTGTCCTGGGAGAGTGGGAGTGATCCTATTCTATCTGCCTATTTGTTAGGAATAAAATCCGCGCAACTACTTGAAAATTACGAATAATGGTAATTATTATAGACTGTTATTGCGGGAAAATTGTATTAATTAATCAAAAGCATTAATTAATAATCAACAATTTAATAGCACGAATTAAATATAAAATTAACTATCAAATAAAACTCGGATCAAAATTAAATTATTCGTACGAATATTAACAGTTCTGAGAACAGACTCGAATTAATTAAATGTAGGTACCTACGTTTCATCGCTATTAACATTTAAGTAAATACTTTATATCTACAGAATTGTTCAACTATTAATTTCTCTGAATCTCCCTTTACACGTATTTTTGTAAGAGTAATATTCATTCAATACCGTATCTCCGTATTAAATACTCTTTTGATTACTTTAGGTAGGTACTGAATGTAGGTAGATGAAATTAAATAGCTTTTCTATTGGTGTACCTACTTCGTAATTGCTAAATACACATTGGCTACAGTTGGATGGGTACTTAGGTAGGTACCTACACACCGGTTTATTGTCATGCTATCATAAGGTTACATTTAAAAAAGTTATAAGCAAGTTAAAGTTTTACATTTTAATAGGTAGGTATATTTTATTTGTTAAGTTATCTCAGCCCATAGAAATCCACTGGATTTAATGTAAATGCAATAAACACATTTTGACTTTGTATATCGCGATCTCTTGTTTCAACCAGCCATTTCTTTAACTAAAATTCTTTTATAAATCATAATAAAACTACATTACGACTGATGTCAATTACCTTAGCATTACTATTGAAGCTCAATTTCCACTTGTCAATATATTCCCACAAATGCCACACTTGCAAAATCGGGAGCAGTTTGACCACCTGTCCAGCAATCGACTCCCCGTGAGGGTCCAGGGTGTCAGTGAATATGTACACGGGAAACACAGAGAGAATATCTAGGTAGAAACCTACAGTCGCCATTTTCACTTCTGCTATCTCTTTCACTGTTTCTTTTCGAATATTCTGGAAAAAAACACGTAATTTGTGAAGAGTCCTTACAAGTACGATTGGATCGATCGATGGAATTTGTGGAATTTTCCGTGCTTAAGTTATGTATTTATAGATAGACTAGCTTTCCGCCCGCGGCTTCGCCCGCGTGGAATTTTGTCTGTCACAGAAAAACTTTATCGCGCGCGTCCCTGTTTCAAAAACCGGGATAAAAACTATCCTATGTTCTTTCCCGGGACTCAAACTATCTCTATGCCAAATTTCATCAAAATCGGTTGCGAGGTTTAAGCGGGAAAGCGTAACAGACAGACAGACAGACAGACAGAGTTACTTTCGCATTTATAATATTAGTTGGGATGCCTACTTGTCATATCCATATTTTAACAGCTTTTCACGATAAAACATCTCCATCGCTTTTTGCCTAAAGTAATATAAGCAGTTAAACAAAGAAAGTGGTTAACGCAAATAATAAATGAGCTGAAATAGGTCCGTATTTCGCCTCTACATTTACGAGAAGTGCGTTATAACTAATTCACATTATTATAATTTACAGACATTACCTTTTCCACAATGGCCGTAGTTAGTTGTATGTAAATGTTGAGTAAGAGCCCGGCGGTAACAATGGTTGTGAAAATTAACTCCAAATCGGTCTGCTCGGTTTGTATAGCGTAATGTGGGGACATCACACATAGGTACAGGACCATTGCGAAGTGGCCCATATCGAACATGTGAGTCTGAAAAAGAAAAAAGTCGGTTAAAGAGGGGTCAAACGCATTCAGTAAATTTTCTAGTTGTTTTTGGCACATGAGCAATGAGCATAATAAATAAAAAATAATTTGCAGTTACGAACGTTGTAAAGCAAAGTGTTAAGCATTAAGCGCCTTCATCCGAACTTTCGTAAAATGCCCCGTATTGAGCATGCGGGCCTGCAAAGTGATGGGCAAACATAGCACTCGGATTGTAAATATTCTGCTGCTGCCGGAACGATTGGTAGGCGTATAGAAATAGTTTTTACCGAAATACGGGTCCGGCATCTGGATAGATTTGATGAAAAATTGAACTGAGGTATGCAACTTTTATTATTATTTTGGACTAAGCCGAACAAAGTTTTAGGACGACTTTCAAAATATTATCTCATAAAGGACGCCCACTGTGTCCTTATATCGGGAAAATTCTGTAAATTCCTTTCATACAATACAGCTTTAATCAAAAAATATTAATTAATTTCAATATTGACAATAATATTTTGTAATGCCAACTAATTAATTTTGTAATTTAATTCATACAAAAAGACACGTACTTAAAACAAGATTACGAGTAAAATCCAAAATCAATTTGCGCATGAAATATGTAATTTAATGACGCTCTGTTGCACTTTAATAGAAAATTGATTGGATGCCATAATTAATTGCAGAGCTACAATGGATGATTACGCCAATTTACATAATATGGCTGCTAAATTATATTTATTACTTGTTGCAGGATACTCGGGTCAGTGGCAATTCGAGAATTCTAAGATTTAAAAGGATGACTCTGAGTGCATTGGGGGTTACCTATGTCACCTATGTTCAACAGTGGACGTTCTATGGCTGAGAAAATGATGAAGAGACTCTGATTGCAAAAAGATAGGAACACCTGAAAATTGTATTTGCTGACCTGCGGGAAAATAATTTCAGAAGCCTTACTACTACCTACTAACCTTAATGTTTAGGCCACAACGCCTTTCAATACGGGAACAAAGCAGACAATTTACATACATACATAAATGAATACCGATCTTTATAACTTTTTTGCTTGAGGAACTTACTCAAGATCCCCTGCTTTATTCATTCAGCCAATCCAGACAAGACGTGAACTGTGGGCCTACCTTATATTTTATCGACATAAACTCGTGAACTAATTGTACTAACTAATCGTGTAAATGTAACTACATCGGCATCCTAGGCTATTACCCCCTAATTCATAGAAAATTCAACAAAGTAACTGTAGCTACAAGAACTTCCTCGTCTATTAAAGTAGTTAGCTAATACGGATTAAACTAAAGGACACTAAATACTGTTTCCCCGTTCGCTAGAAATCCCTTAACACTTTGAAGGATTGATGGCTTTAGTTCGAGAAAAACAAGACTTACGTTCCGTTCTGGAGAAGTAAAATAAAATAATGGCACTCTACTTAGCTTTAAGCTGGGCTTTTGCAAGTGTGTTTGTTGTATAAGGGTCAATTTCCCAAACACATTTTTTGAGCGGCGTAGCTGAAAATCATATGTTTTTTATGACATAGAACTTTGATTTTTTTTTACACGAAAATATACAGAGGTTCCATTTTGAGGACAACATTATTAATGAGTATTTTCTTTTACAAATTCGACAAAAAATAATTGAACTAAGCGTTTCTAATTTTGGTGCAGTGTCCACATCCTTAATTTCTTACAATATGTATTTTTTTAGCTGAAGATCAAAACAGAACTTAGGGAAAAAGTATATTTTTGGATTATACAATCTATCTATTATCTAAGATTACCAAATTAAGCAAGTTTCCCAAATAACTGTGATTAAGTCACGTCCTTAAGTTTTGTCCGCGAAAAATTTATGATTTTGGTGTCAATAATGAAATAGCTCGTCAGTTTCTTTAAAGATCAAACAGGATTTAAACACTCCCATCATTCGTTAGGTTTAGTACCGCCCCCGCGAGCAGTGACGGCAGACGGGTGCAAGACCTCTGCGTCTTCCCGCCAAAAACGTAAATGTGTTGTTTTTTTTTAAACGGACAACAATTCTGCAATTTTGGTGTCTTTTTGTATAAGATTTCTAAGCTATTCTTTTTAGTTGAATTCCTCGTATAATGTAAAGGAACTGTTTTCATACCATGTGTTAAAATGTTATTGTTATATTTAAAACAGATTTCATATAATTTAGCTTTTTCAACGAGAATCTAATTTTGGTGAGTCACCCCTACCCCCAGGCCATAAGCATAAGCTGGATATGACTCCCCTTCGGCCAGAAGCTGGGTATGACACCCCCCCCCATGCCAGAAAAGCCAGAAACTGGGTATGACTTGACCCCCCCCCTCACCCCAACCGCGTCCCGCATTGCATCGAATCCTATGAAAATGTGGTTTTTGGACATAGCGATACTTAATTTTCACAATTTTTATTTTTTGAAATTACTGGTCGATAGGTTACTTTATTTTGATGAACAAATGTTATTAAAAGTTTTTTTCTAAAACTGATGGTTTAGCTGGAAAAAAATATTTTCCATCCCAATAGTACGCCGGCTGCGCTCGATTCGGATATAATGACGTCACGCGGCCCTGCGTACGTTGACTTTTATCGGCAAAAACGGCCTATGTTTATTACTTAATATCTTCGTAAGTAATAGTCCGATTTGGATAATTCAAAAAGATATATCTTTCTTATGTCTTAAAGATTAACGTAGATACTAGTTTTATTGAATTTTCTACAACAGTACTGATCCTCATTGTATATTATACAGTCGTATACACTGCGCCTTTGTAGCTTACAGTCAATTAATGGACGGTGAGGGATCTTCCCTAATAGTTCCCCGCTAAATATCTGGAGGATGGGCCCGAATTAACGAAGTAGAAGAGGCGTATCAAGGTCGAGTCAATCTGCTAAGCCCTATAGCTATTATCGATGTGTGGACGACTTATATAATGGAATCGACAAACAAGCTTTTGCCCGTGACTTCATCTGCCTAGATTTCAATAAAACTCACTTATATGCAATTATGTGATAATTACATTGCAAGACCTCATCATAACGCCAATCCTCCGCTCCAGTAGTTTGCCTCCTACGTGAAGTAGTAAATAACAGAAACATCCAGCCATCGGACTTTTTTTTTAATTTATTTTCTTCCAAAATACAAAATGTCGCGTCCCTATTGTGTACCCAATTGCAAAATAATATAATGTTGGGACCTTTCACAGCGACAGCCCAATACGTTTCAGTCTCTCAGTACAGTTCGTTCTTCGTTTCAGCCAAGTGACGTCTACTGCTGGACAAAGGCCTCCCCTAAAGATTTCCTGCACTGCCCTCATCCAGATACTTCCCGCGACTTTCACCAGATCGTCTGTCCACCTAGTGCTGCACCTCAGTACAGTTACCTTATATCATTTCCAAATTATGTAACGAAGAAGTAGGTAAGTATTACTTGTCATATTGTATCTAAAATACATATTAAACATACGAAATCAGTGTTCGGCTCCAGTATCCAAGGGAAACTGGCCCTCAGACAGACCCGCGGGGCATCTATAGTCGTCACGTTGGTCGATATCTGATACAATTCCAAGTACTCTGGCGTAAACCTCGCCTGCCGAACATTGTTGACGTCTGCAACAAGTTATTTGACACTTTAGCTCACCCTGTATTTTAAACGCCCTATTGTTTTATTAGAGTGTGTCATATTTTGTGGACTTTGCAACATTTTTTCAGGCGACGTCATAGATACAAAATAAAATTTTAGGCAAATAGGCGTATGTGCAAATCTACGCCACGTATAAAGCCCAATCATACGATTCGTCAATCTATACGAGTAGTTGCTTACATAAATATATATTTTTTATAATCCAAATCTTAAATAAAGCCATGAAAATATTTAGCAAATTGTTTTATTTATAAATTATGACACATTATATAGTTATTTAATTTTTAGCGTTAAGAGTGGCATCTCAAACTAATTTGAAAATTATAAATAACTTGAAAAAATCTAACTGCCTAAGGCATCGTGGATTCCATTCCCGCCTTAGGCAGTTCGATTTTTTCAAGTTATTTATAATTTTTAAAAATATGACACATTATGTTAAAAGACCTAACTAAATCTCGAGCACAGTATATGGGCGTATTTGCGTTAAAACGTAACAGTGACAATAACAAGGACTAATCAACTAAAAAGCATGAAAAAAAATAATTTTAACAAAAAAATTAAAACCGACGCCAACAATCACTTAAAAGTAGAAAATAAGTACGTCGTTATTTATTTATTAGGACAATATACCATGATTAATATTTTTGGAGTCGGTGCTGGTAAATTTAAAACCATTTCTTGAGCTTGGCACTAAGATATGACCGACTGACAGCATATTTTCTAATTTTGGTGCTTTAATATAAATTTTGGTGTTCTCTTAATTTTGGTGTAAGGAAAATCTAAAAAACTACTGGACAAAATTTAATGTCTTAATCATTTTAGAAACAGTATAAGTTTCCAATAAATTTGATCTATAATTAAAGAATAAAAATACACAAATAACAATTTTCACCAAAATTAGGCAAAAAAATGCACTTGTTGAAATTCACCCATAAAATAGAAATACCTATCTACAGAAAGGTAAACACGTAAAATAAACTTATTTTGCTTTTCTTCGTAACACTTCAGAATAACAAAACTTCACATGATTCTACAGAAAAAACACCAATAAATAAAAACATCAGACTAACCGCACTAGTTCAAAAAATATTTTTAAGCCATGAAAAAATAAAGCATAAAGCGCCTACACTTTCAAGCGTTTAATAGAACTCGGGTTCCAAAATTCATCAAATCGGTCCAGCTGTTGAAGCTTGAGAGCATAAAAAATATACAGGGTGAACTTGAAATCATTGGCATGCATCCTTTTAAAATAAGACTATTCATAATTAGATTCCTCAAATTTGAGACAAATCAGATGTTTTACTACAGAGTTACTTTCTTAAATGAGGATCATTTCGATTTTTAGCTGTGAATGCAGATTTATAGGGCTAAGAAATCCTTAATACACAGTCCAAAAATTTTTGTTCTACGACAAAAATTGACGAAGTTATGGCCAAATTACTAAAAAAGTTCACTGACCGCCCGGCGCGGGACCGTTGACGTCACTGTATCCGATCCGAACGCTGCCGGCGTACTGCGTGGATAGAAAATATTTTTTTCTAGCCAAACTATCAGTTTGAGAGAAAAACTTGTAATGACATATATTCATCAGAATAAAGTAAGCTATCGATAGGTAATTTTAAAAATAGAAATTGTGAAAAATAACGCAAAAAATCCATACGCTCATACGATTCAATGGAACGCAGAGACGCGATTGGGGTCTCCGCGGTGGTATATTTGGCTATTTATTCAAATAAAGTGTTCATAAGTGTTGTTAGAGTCATATCTTCTTCCAAGTAAAATATAAAAATGTATAAGTATTAATTTATTTACTTCTAACAATAAGGTATAGCTGAGGCAGATACACTCTGCCTAGGCTACAAGACATTTCTATGCAGATCATTTCGATGTACACGCAATACCTACCTGTTATTTAGTTTTTCTGAGTTAAACCTACGTACCTACCTATCTATTCGCCGTTCCCATGGGCGGACCAGCTGCTGCAGGAAAGGACAGCTGCTCCCTCCTGGAAATCTATTTAATCTTAGCCTAGAAGCTGGGTATGACTCCCCCGCCCCCCTCCTCTCCCCAGGCGACGTAAAAGGGCAATGCGTAAAATCTCAAAATATATAAGAAAAATATAAAAATTGATAACAGCAGTAGCAAAAGCATTACATGTTAAGGCTAAATGTGAAATTTCATTAAATTCGTTTTAGTAGGTCAGAAGATATGACCCAAAAATATGGTTCTGGCCACTAAAATGGCTCTCCTGTAAAATTTACTTTTTTCACTTACGCCAGTATACGTAGGAGCCATCGATTTTTGTTCCTTTGTTGTAATTGTGTCAACCTTTTGAATTGGGATTCAGTTCCGAGAATTCCGGAATAAAAGTTACAAAGAAATTAGGTCTAGTTGCTTCAGAAATTGCCCTCCTTACACATTATTATCGATTTCTCAACACTAGTAAAAGAGTAAAATAGTTCGTCCACTATTAAAGCAATAATTTATACAAATTCACACTCTATCACCTTTGTAATACATGTGAGAATCGTCCACAAATGTCGGGTCGTCCTCCTCTACGCCGGATAAATTGTCTTTGAGCACTTTCATAGGTCGGTAACGAGTTCGAATTAGTCTGGAATCGCCTTTGTCGTATTGAGTTATCGCTTCCTGAAATGAACAATGGCTCTTTGAAACATTTAGAGCGACATTCGTCAAATAAGTTAAGTTTCATTCTATTGCTATGTCCTAGATAATGTTAGGTATTAATAGTAATAGTTATTGTTTATTTGAATTAATAGACAAACCTGATATTACAGCTGAAAAGATCGTGGCATGGCATGGTATGGATGACATATTGACATGGCATGGCATAGCAAGGCGCGGTATATCGTGGTATGGCGTAGACAATGGTTTTATTAAATTTCAAAGCCTAAACGTCAGGTAGGCCTAGGATGCGCATCACGATAAACTTTGTCAAAGATTCAAAGATTATTTAAATTCGCGGCACTTTATCGATTTTACACGATAAGCTCATACATTTGTCACCTGAAATCATCGATAAGATCTTGTAACGGCGCGCATCCTAGCCTGGCTGTTCACTATAGTGGAGGTTTTCTTCACAACATCATAAAAATCCAAGCAGATTTCGTAACAAAGAACTTCGATTTCCAATAAGCGTAGAAAATTCTAAGTTGCAGTAATCAAAATCTAAATATGAAACTGGTGCTTTAAATAACCTGTCTCTCCCTGGTCGACCGCAGCCTGGTCCCTATTTTGTCCCGAATGTGCTGCAGCATGGAGGGATGCTCAGATATCACTCGCATGAAATCCGTGCGCCGTAATACCTGTTCCAGATAACAGCTGTTACAACCATTCAGCTGATGCACTATTGATGATATTGCAGGGTAGACGTACGTACTCTACATTCACATTTTGTGTTATAATAACGTGCAGCTCAAACATTTCTCTGTAATTATTTATTTGCTATTTTAAACGTTAAATAAGTTTTTAGACTGCAGTCCTACTACGGGTCAGTGTCATTCTCAGACAATTTCACAGAGCATGTAACCTCTTTATTTTATTACATAGTGTTACACCACGGTGTTACACTTTTTTTTAACCAAACACTTGATATGAATTGATTACCTAAATAAATATCCTTGGCCACGATTATCAAACCATAAAAAATGTGTACATTGGAATATCGAGCTCTACGCTCATGTCCGCTGTTTAACAGAGGCCTAAAAAATGTGGTACACCTTATGTATTTTATTTTTAAATAAATAGGGTAGATATCTTATAATGTAAAATTAATATAACATTAAGTACCTTCAAAAGTATCATTTCAATATTATCCGCTTCCTTCCCTTCACTTTATTATTAAGTGTTACATAAACTAATACTCTTATGACAAATATTACTCTAATATCGGAATTTAATACACCTAATGGACTTGCCTGAAGTTCCACGTAAGTAGCCGCCTTGACGGTGACTTTGGCTGGGATTGAATAAAATAAACTCAGCTCTCCTAATACCTGGAAGAAAGTTTCATCTTAATCTTGATTTGTTGGAGAGCTTTTATATGGAGCGCTTATTTTCTGAAATCAACTTGGACATTTACAAATTAAGCCTGAAGTTTTTTGAATCGCTTTACATGCAATGCCTTTGATTCTGAGTCTTAAGATAAAAACAAGCAGAGCGATTTCCAGAAATTGATATGATCTAAACATAAAGCATGCGTTTACAGAAATAGAAGAAGAAAATTATGGATCTGAAAGGTCTTAAATTTAAATCTTTAGAGTTTCAACACTTGGATTCAGCATGATAAAAGAACCATGTGAATCTTGCCCATGAGTTTATTCATAGCAAAAATACTCGATTTTTATTTGGAATTCTTTGATATTACCAAATATCTTAAATAAATCATGCCTTTTTTCTAACCACTTACCGTTCCTTCCTTGAAAGCTATCATCGGGCTCTCATCATCCTCATCAGACAGCATCTCCACGACGCCTCTCTTGATGCAGATCATTCCGTTCTTCACCACTCCTTGGCTCCAAATGTGCTGACCAGCGAGGTACAGCTCATGCTTCATCAGTAAGGAGATTTGACGCATAAAGGCTTCATCTATTAATAAAAGCATCAGATAGTGGGAAAGAAGTCTAAAAAATAAAGCTACCTATAGGCTGCTTAGAAATAAAAATAATGTAAAATCTTTTTTTATTTTAGCTAATTTACGATGTAGAGTCGCATTAGAAAGAGCTCTAGACTGAGGTGATCCGGTGACTCCGATAATTTGGCACTCAGGGCAATTGTCCTACTTTACCCCACAATTACTGATGTCGAACCTGATTAATGGAAAAAATGGAGCTGTAAAAGCAAGTGTTTTTAATAAAGTAGGGCAATCGCACATCCGGGAAAGAACGACTGCTATGTTGCATTATAATATCGATGACGTAGGGGTACTACGTAATGTGACTTGCTGCAACGCTGCATATTATCTTGTCTCGCACACTGTTACTGTTTTCATCATCAGCATCATCATTTCAGCCACAGGATGTCCACTGCTGAACATAGGCCTCCCCCAATAAATCTTATCGCCCGGTTGACCCATCAACATCATCATCATCATCATCATTTCAGCCATAGGACGTCTACTGCTGAACATAGGCCTCCCCCAATGACTTCCACATCGCACGGTTGGTAGCGGCCTGCATCCACCTTGTGGGTGGACGTGACCCATCAACAAAACCTGCATTTTCCAAACCTGTATCCCTGAACAGCAAAGAGTTGTGGAAGTGTCCCACATTAACATCAAATATCAGCTCCATTTGCAAAGGCAGCGGTAGCTTCTGCAGCTGGCTCGAGGATAGTATGCCGTCTTTCATTTGCCACACCTGCTGCTTGTACTTGGCCGCTTGCTCCATCAGCCAGGAGGGGGCGCCACGGAATTTCAAGTAGCTTACCATGTGGTGGTACTGAAAGAAATGGTACAATAGAGGGTCAAAATGATCACAGAGACCTCAAGGATATCAGAACTTGTGTTTCTTTAATGAAAAGACCGATAGTTAGCGAGATAAGCATTTATTATTCGGGTTCTTACACAGACACATCTTGTTCGTACATAGCCGGAAGAGGGAAGAGCGTTCTACCGGAAACAGTTAACTTTTTAATATTTAATACACTTCCAAAGATAATATAATCCTAACAAAGGATGCACGTCACAGATGTTGCTCCATCAGACAGCCATATTAAACACTAGCGGCCGCCCGCGACTTCGTACACGTGGATCCCGTTTTACCCCCTTAGGTGTGGAGTTTCGTAAAATCCTTTCTTAGTGCAGCACCTACGTTCTAAAAGGAACCCTCATGCAAAATTTGAGACTCCTAGCACTTGTAGTTTCTGAAATTTCGTGATGAGTGAGTCAGTCAATCAGTGACCTTTCGCTTTTATAGATATAGATTTATTTACTAACAAATTATAATAAGTATTAATAAATAATTACACGAAAAGATTACATCGTGTCGTTCAACGTTCATGCAAGCCGTCTCAGTAGAGGCGTAAGGGGGGGGCGGTGGGGGCGGTCCGCCCCGGGTGCCAATCATCAGGGGGTGACACAAGTCGCGCAGATTAGTACTCACTGACGCATCCGTGCTCACTATTACGTGCTCTGTGGGCGCATCTGCATGGCAAATCTTGTCTATGTCATGATACGGGGGGGTGCCATTGTCTTTCATCTTTTCGAATCGAATCGGTAGGTAACCCCAAAATCCTGGGTGGTACTAGGGGGTGCCTTAGGACTCATGACGGGGGGGGGGGGGTTGATCGCCCCAGGTGCTCCCACTCACTTAAATGGAAGCATCCTTTGTTCTTAAAGATAATTTACTACATTATAACGTTCGCGGAACTACTTTTAACACTAGGTTTCTATTAGCTCAGTAATTTTTCATATTAAAAGTGCCTTAGATTAATCAAGGATTTAATCTCGTAAGTCTGTCATCTCACACTATATAAAAAAACAAGCGAATATTAATTTAATCCATATTTTATTATGCCTAACTACCCCTTTATGACCACCTATTGACTGACTTAAAAGGATTAATTTAATTAATGTATTTTAGATTTGTAAAATATAAGATTAGTCCTTTTAAGTCAGAATGTTGTAGTCTTCTTAATTTCCAAAAGCATCAAATATCTTGATCATCTTACCCGATCAATAAACATAGCTCTTCGCGCGTTCTCGAGAACCAACTCCCAGGTGAGGAGTCCGACGAACTGGTACCGGAAGAACACATAGCCTATTAGCATCAGCAATGACGTCAACCACTTTTCCAAGACCCGCTGTAAAAAGAAGACACAAAGTCATCACGTAGGTTCCTAATCTAAATGAAGTTTACAAGGAGGATTTATTCCTAGAAAACTATAACACGCTTTCACATTAAGGCGTGAGAGAGTAGAGCTACAAGAACGATATAATAATACAACCTTTTCTTTGAAAACCGGCCAAGAATTGAATCTGATCTACCCTACTGCGTCAAATCAAACCATTTATTAATTATGTATGCAGCGGATTTTCGACAGATTCAAAGGACGTTTTATCTATGTTTGTTTGTTTTTTTAAGTCAAAAAGTTCAAAATCAAGCTACGATTTTTAACTGAAATCACATACCAAAGGAAAAACATCGCCAAATATAACATTGCAGAATCGGCAAGCACAATAATACCAGCAGGATATGTAGCTGGAAAACAAAAGAATTGATCAATTGATTTTCAATTGTCTTTTCCACGAATGCTGAAGGACCTATTGCTACAGCTTCACAATACGGCAAATATCGATGCCTCCATCGTAATTCATTTGTTTTATTTACAAAGAAAGTAAATAAAAATGAACTAATAACCATAAGGTATTTTTTAAATGAAACGTTTTACCTTCTATTCTTTATTGTACTCATAAGGTATTATTTATTTTAATTAGAGCATTTATGGCTTGTGGCTAACCACCAACGACATATTTTAAATACATTTTCAAAAGCATTCAGTATAATGTAGTACACAGATAATACAGACATATAACACTGATCAAAGAAAGTCATCATGGTAGATAGAGGAGATAACAAATACGAAACAATAAAATTACCTGAAAATACTGAACATTTTACGTGATGTACGATTTCATCAATTATTTGTTATTCTGCTGTTCAATAAATTTTTGAAAGTTGTTAAAACTTAATTGAGGACTTCTATTATGACCCTTACTTGTCAAACTTCAGTTTCCACGAGTTGACGTGCGATGGGTATCCCAGGTTGTACCATTTCTTGCTTACGGTCGGCAAGCGATGCAAGGCGTACCAAAGACAAGTACTGGCGTGAAGGATTAGCATACCAAAAACTACGTGCTCGGTTATATAGAATGCCTTGCGAGATTTGTGGATCTGGAATATTAGATTTGGATTATGGTGTTATATTGGAGGTTATATTAAAATGCGACTGTTAAAAAAAGCTGTATCCATGCAAGACCTTAAGTCATCTGAGAACCTACCAACTCTTCTAATTTTTATGTACCTACCTATTTTTAATATCAGAAGGATTTATCAGATGGCTAATCATGCTGCTGCAGACTAAGTAGCAACAGTATAACGGTTTTTAACGGTTCCAAGTTTGAATCCCGCCAGAGACAAGCACCATTTAAAGGCATTTATAACGGCCGTTTGGTCTAGTGGTTCAGAACGGACTACTATGCCGAGAGGTCCCGGGTTCGATTCCCGGCCGGGCAGAAATTGAAATGATGAATTTTAATTTCTGTGACGGGTCTGGGTGTTTTCTATGTATAATATGTATGTATTTACATAAAAAAAAATTAAGTATGTTTATATCCGTTGTCTAGTACCTACCCATAGTACAAGCTTTGCTTAGTTTGGGACTAGCGGCGCAGTGTAAAATATCCAAGGATATTATTTATTATTTATTTATTATAACAGAACTCCTGAAGTCATTCATTCAAAATAGTCATTACAATAACTTTAATGACTATTATAATATACTGGCCACCATAACCATTGAGTTATTCCCGCCTGACGAGGGTGAAGGTTGGTCACATTCAGGGAGGCACATTACCTTTTGATGAGGTCAAGAACATAAATGGTTACGTCATTTGTTACAATACAAAAAACACTACTATTATTAAGATTACTAGTACATAGGACCGTATACACACTGATTCGTTAACGCTCCGGAAAAACGTGAACAGTCTATAGATGCGGCCAATTCCTAACCATCGGCCAACCAATACGATATCTCGGCTATCTGCTCGGTTGCTAACTGAAATTAAGAAGAATGACCATCCATTAAAATAATTAACCCTTGTTTTATATTAAAAAAACAGTCAGGAACAACTGCTGATTCCACTAAAACCAAAATAGACAATACTAAGTTGAAATTGTTACTTACAAATCATAGTCAATGGCACCAGGCTGATAATATCATAAGCTAGGAAGAGATAATTTCTTCTGAGAGTTCTTATTTGCAGTCGAACTATGGGCCAGAAGGTATGCAGCAGGTGAACTATGATGTCCGCTAAGAAGAACACTTCGCCGAGGGCCAGGGTCATGTCCAGGAAGAACCAGGATTTGTCCAGGTAATACCCAAGGAGCAGGTGGATGATGAACTTGTAGAGAATGGTCATCAAGACGAGAGACTGCAACATTTTTTTTTAAATTAACATTAGGTTATTTAGTGTCTCCACAGGAGCACGACCCTCTAATTTTACCAGAGGAGTGGAGGATTTGGAATACACTCCCCACGCTGCTGGTAGAACGAATTTTTTAAATAAGATGATAAGATATATCCACTTTCTCTTTACTAGGCCCACTTTTTATGCTTGCATCTTCAAACTGTGCAAAGAAAATTTTCGGCAGCCTAAATATGCGACCGACATAAAAACTTTAGTGATTGTAGTAAAAAATATGCGGGATAAAAAACCACTACGTATAAGTAGGTAAGAAAATTTTCCTGAAAGAATCATGACTGACAACGTACAGCAGGATCGAAGAAAGTAAAGTTTTATTTTAATATCGGATTAAAAGGCTCGAAATAAATAAGAAAGTTATCCTATTACACGATTATTAACGTATAATTGGCTTGTACACTGAACTGCAAAGGAAAAGGGTCGGTTAGAAAATCTTCAGTATCTTCAAAAGTACCTGATCTAGCTTTATGAAACAAAACGTGGAAAAAATACGCATTTTTATTTTTTTAAATTAATTTATCAAAAATAAAAAGCTTGAATTAGTCTAATCTTTATTTCATAAAGCTGGATCAGGTACTTTTGAAAATACTGAAGATTTTCAACCGACACTTTTTCGGTCCCGTGTATTTTCATATGTCATCCTTTACCTGAAACCACAAATTCCACGGGGTGAGCATGACGGCCATGGTGATCTTCCTCAAGCGGCCTTCCCATAGAAACCTTCCTCGCTGCTGCACCCGGGTGGCGAGCTTCAGGTTCATCTGGCTCACGCAGCTCGTCGCCGTCGTGGCTATTGTCCTGGAAGAAGCTGTTACTGTAAATATGTACCTACTTGCTTTTATATTAGGTCATATTTTCCTACTAATTTTCCTACTAATACCTACCTACGCTAATACCTACGAGTATTGTAAATGCGAAAGTTTTGATGTCTGGATGTTTGTTACTCTTTTAACACAAAAACTACTGAACGGATTTTGATGAAAATTTGCAGTACCTATTATTGTTTATAACCCAGAATAACATTATAGGCTATAATTTATGACGATCTGTGACAAACTAAATTTCACGCGGGTGAAGCCGCGGGCAAAAGCTAGTAGTAAATATAAAGTTGACAAAATAACTGATTACTTTCTCATCACAAGCTGACATTGTGTGGTCCAATCCAATGCTACGAGAGTGAGACTCTTTCGACTGGATTCGACTTCCAGGTTATTCACAGTTTGTTAAGGATATTGCAGGCTTAAATAAACCAGGTGATTTGAAAAAAAAAAAGTAATCTAAGGTTAAGGTAGGTTTTAGTCGAAAAGAGTGTTAGCTTTCAGATATAATGAGACCAGTAGAAATAGTTGACAATTGACATTATTTAGGTAGGTATGTGCACATTTTGTTTGACGTGGTTTCAATTTATGTTCACACCCACGCTACTCGTATGCTACAATTTATATTCACAACAGCCTCTCTAATACTCGTAGTAGTATATCGTACTTACAAACTAAGTCTTTGAATAACTCATACTAATAAACAGACCGAAAACTAATTGATCAAAGGTGTTCAGAAACTAATCAAAATTATTATACCCGGTTCCAACGGTTCCTATAGAAGGTTCACTGTAACTCCGCATTATGAAGTAAGATTATTATCAACGTAGTCTTATAATCTTCTGAAATTATTAATTGCAAATATTTGTTAGCATAGCCTACTTGATTACCACAATCAAACATTTTCCAACGTAAAAAAACAATAATAACTGTTTTGTATAGTAGGTACCAACGGTGGGCTGAAATCAATACTAAACTAAAACCACAACTTACATGAATATCATTATTTAAAGCTGATTCTGATTAACCATGTACATTTTAAACAAGCCATATGACGAAATGATGATGCAAAACGAAGTCCATATCTCTGAAACATTAATTTAACCAAACGAGATTTTAATCTCAAACTCAATTTACAAAATGTAATCCCTTTTTTGTCTGAATAAAAACACAACCCTTTATAAAACGAATACTACGGCTTAATTCATTCTTATTTGTTTGTGACGAATTTTTGATATCAAAGTGGTACAAGTAATAGACTATCTCAATTGAAAAATATTTGGTATCATGCAAAACAAAGGTAGGCTTTGAACTGGTATAATTCGATCCTATACAATTCGAATAAGCCCTTCAGACCGTTTAACCAAAGTGAAACCGTTTATTTCGGTATTCGAACAGAGGATTTGAAATTGAAATACCTAATTTGCTAATAATGGCAAATCCTGTTACACAACGAAAAGTTGAGTAATAATTTTCTGCGCGCAGCAGCAGATGTGTACACAAAAGTTGGGCGCTCACAAATAGTACAGTTGCGTAACTTTTTTATTCCTCATTTAAGTAAGCGGGTGAAGTGCAGTGCCATATTTTTAGGAATATTGAAAATTTTACAACCGGGTCTTCGGCTGCGGTCGTAAAGTGGAGGAAGCGGAAACGAGAGCGGGAGCGGGGGCGGGAGCGCGATGATACACATAAAATGAGACCTGCACTCCGAACACACTGAAACTTTAGCACTCTGAATAATTAATGAGCTGTCGACCTAATATTTTTACAGCTAAGTGTACGGCTGTCAGCTGTATAATGCTCAGGGAAATAGCTGAGTAAACTTTTTATCGCTTTTTGAACTCGCCTAATTTAATATTCACATTATATTTTCTTTCTCCAAAGTAGGTAAATTCAAATTGCACAAAAGCCTCAGCTAAACCTCTATGAATAACTTTTGAAAGAGCACATAAAAAAAACTGCCAAAAGGCATCCGCGGTACTGCAAAAGTGCTTACCCAGCGAAATGGGCACGTACACCGTAGGGCACTCATATAAAATGTAAATATGCGTCCAAACTGTAGCTACGAAAGAATAATTCATATTCAGGAGGGGCGCGGGAGGGACGGCCATCCATTTTACATGGTTATTTTGGCTGAATCCCGTGTATTCCGCTCTCATGTAATTAAGAGATTAAAAGATCAGCGAGCAGTGGTGCGGACTCGCCGGGGTTTTTATGAATACAATATTTTTCTTCGCAGCAATACAGTGATTCTACAGAGTATACAGACAGAGTGACTGTAAAATTTTAAGATTCTTTAAGAAATTTAAAAAAAACTTGACGAGATCTACATCAGAATTAAGTAAAGATATGCAAAGGCTTAATTAGTCATATCTTTTTTTGAAAAGGAAGATTTCCTTTTCCTTCACGATGTGGCTTTTCAAGATGCACGTAACATTGCCGTTTAATCATAGATTAAGAACGAAGGAAGGAAGGAAAGATATACAAATCAACAGGTTGATTTGCACAGGAGAAACCCTGACCTTCAGGTGTCTGGAGACGCCTCCTAGTTCACCCGTAATTACGACGCGAAACTTTACTTCGTATTTTGATGAACGTCGTATTATTTATGTAACATAGCAATATTTACTCACAAAATTAGATTCACGTCTCGATTTGAAAACAAGTTTCAGCTTACACCTCGACGTTTCATGACTGTGTCTGACAAGACTAGATATTTAAACTCTTCGATGCGAGGATTTATTCGCCTAGATTAAAATTACGATGATCAATTTACAATCATCATATAATGTATATCGAACATCACACACATTATGTACAAGCAGTATGCAGCCTCACTCACTACCGTCATTCATAATGTACCTCCATAAGAATAGTTGGGCGTAATAACGAAACCACACGTAATAACCTAACCACATACTGCTTGTTCAGCCGCCATTTTTTCCTTCTGATTATCCCCCGTGGAAATCCTAGGCCAGTTCTCTTTGCCCTGACTTTCATTAACAGCAATATTTTTTTATTATATCCACAATTCCTTTTGTATAATAATAAGAAGCTGTCGCATTAACGAAACCTTTGTAGTATCTTGGGAGTTTCATGACGAATAGAAAGAAAGAAAGAAAAACTTTATTTGACACAAAAAGGTAAAAATAAAAAAACAGAACAAAGGGACTTAAAACTATACTCATATTTTTGTGCCAAAAAGGCGCCCGCTCAGCATTAAGGTAAACGGCTACTAGTTCGTGATAGTACGTAAGTTCGTAAGTTTTTTTTCTAGCTCAAATAATAAGCAAATGGAATATTATTTATAAAAATTCTTTATTACTATAAAAACTCTATTATTTAAGCTATCTAAAAAACCAAGTACCAACATTGTGGCGCCAAAAATGAGAGCAATACGAAGCTTCAAACTCTCAGAGAGCCAAAAACAGCCGTGCGGCGTGAAAATGTTGCTCTCACCGTAAGGTTAGCGCTCCAACTTCTTAAGCTTATAAAAAGGCGAAGAAACGTCCATTTGCATAAAACTTGTAATAGTGGTTTCATGTGTTCCTTGACAATTGATTTGGCTTAAAAAAAAGTTATATGAAAACGTAGAATTCCTTTAAAATTGCGATTAATTGACTCACGAAATAGCGTACATATTATTTTTCGGGTGTCCCCTGTTTCGTGATACTACCGAATCAAGGATATTATGGATAATATTTTGATGCTTGGTTTTTAAATAATTATTTATGCTCTATTATTTAAGCTATCTAAAAAACCAAGTACCAACATTGTGGCGCCAAAAATGAGAGCAATACGAAGCTTCAAACTCTCAGAGAGCCAAAAACAGCCGTGCGGCGTGAAAATGTTGCTCTCACCGTAAGGTTAGCGCTCCAACTTCTTAAGCTTATAGAAAGGCGAAGAAACGTCCATTTGCATAAAACTTGTAATAGTGGTTTCATGTGTTCCTTGACAATTGATTTGGCTTAGAAAAAAGTTATATGAAAACGTAGAATTCCTTTAAAATTGCGATTAATTGACTCACGAAATAGCGTACATATTATTTTTCGGGTGTCCCCTGTTTCGTGATACTACCGAATCAAGGATATTATGGATAATATTTTGATGCTTGGTTTTTAAATAATTATTTATGACTAGCGGCCGCCCGCGACTTCGTACGCGTGGATCCCGTTTTACCCCCTTCATCTATCTTACGCGGTTTAGATTTTTTCATACAAATGTTTTTTCCCGCTTACTCCCGTTCCCGTGGGAATTTTGCAATATCCTGTTTTAACTAAGCTTTAAGTTTACTAAGGTACCTGCATGCCAAATTTCAAGCGTCTAACTTAAGCGGTTCAGATTTTTCATACAAAACGATTTTCCCGCCAATTCCCATTCCCGTGGGAATTCCTAAGTATCCTATAACCTGCCCAGGAGTATGAAGAATAATTGTACCAAGTTTCGTTAAAATCCGTCGAGTAGTTTTTGTTTCTATAAGGAACATACAGACAGACAGACAGACAGACAGACAGACAGAAAGACAGACAGACAAAAATTTTACTGATTGCATTTTTGGCATCAGTATCGATCACTAATCACCCCCTGATAGTTATTTTGAAAATATATTTAATGTACAGAATTGACCTCTCTACAGATTTATTATAAGTATAGATAATTGAAATGTAAGTTATGAAACAAATAATGCATTTATTTAAGTTTCTCATGACCTAAATTCGGTATATGTTTCGTTCACTAGAATTAAATTTTATGGGTACGAAGGCAGGAAGGGGGTAAGTCCCCCCCACATTTCTAATGGTTTTATAAATATTTTCACATATCGCTAGAAATAACAAATCAAAATTTTATGGGTACGAAGGGGGGGGGGGGTAAGTTCCCCCCCCTCCTCTACATTTCTAATGGGAATATAAATATTTTCACTTATTGTTAGAAATAACAAATCA